CCACCCCGTCTGCTGCCACAGGGACTGCGGCGGCTCCTGCCATCACCACTGCGAGCCAGGCCCGGCCCCGCTGTTTTGCGGCTGTGGCAGGTGGAGAAGCTCTTCAGGCAAAGATGCTGTGGTGCAACCAACCGCCTGGGCTCACGGCAGGGGAGGAGGGCAGTCACATCTCCAAACCCACACAGAAAGGCCCTAGACACAGCACAGCCGGATTCGAACCTAGTGCGGATGTGCGGCGGCCTGGCGTGCCCTTCTCACACAAGCCCAGGCAGAGGGGACCGGGCAGCACCGCGGGCCCCTCCGCCCGCCGCGGCCAGGGACTCCACCAGCCCCGCCTGCCTCCCTCGCCGGCCGTCACCCCAACCACGCAGGAGGCCTGGAGCTGAGGACCCCGGTTCACAGCCAGCCGGGGCAGAGAGCCCGTGAGACTGTGACCTCAATGAACCACCAAAAACTGGAAGTGGCGCTGTGGCTCAAGGGGTAGAGCACCAGCCTTGAGCTGAAGAGCTGAGGGACAGCGCCCAGGCCCTGACGACTGGCCACCACGACTGACACCCCCCCCCAAAAAAGCAAAGTGATGTCATCTACAGAAGGGAGGAGGCTGGGGAGGCGGGAGGCTGGGGAGGAGGGAGGTTGGAGAAGGAGGCTGGGGTGGAGAGAGACTGCACACTGCACACATTTGCAGTAAAATAAAATATCTCAAACAGAGAAGGTTCTGGAACAGTGAGTCCACAGACACAGAAGCGGGTCCCTGCTGCCAGGGGCTGGGAGGCTGTGCGGGGCACGCGGAGGGGGTCCCCACTTCTTGGAGTAGTTGGCGCTGCTGGCGGGCGTGGCTGAGGTGTGGTGCGGGCAGAGTGCTGGCTGCAGAGTGTGAGGCCACCAGTTCAAGCCCCAGCCCCACAGGGCACCTGCGGTCCAGGTGCTGGGGCCGGAGCGCCAGCCGCTCCCCGCGTTCAAGCCCCGCCCCGCCCCAGGGAAGCCCTCATCTCCAAAAACCAAACAAGGGCCGGGAATGTGACTTCGGTAGAGGCTCCTGTAGTGCAAAAGCAGCTCAGGGACAGCGCCCAGACCTCATTCCACCCCAGGACTGAAGACACACGAAAACACAGAAACCACCCAGCAGTCAGGGCGGGTCCTGCCGCCCTGCCCAGACCAGCAGCGCCCCATCCCCCTCCCCCCGCTGCCCCCCTCCCCGCCCTCCTCCCCTCTGTAGGTGCTCAGGTCATGTGTGCTCAGCCCTGGCCAGGCTCACCCCAGGCCTGGGCCTCTGGCCCAGCAAACAGGCGGGGAGAGAGTGGGGAACTGCATGCGTGCAGGTTCAGGACGGGCCCCTGGCAGGACACGGGCGGCCCAGAACCATCGCCCACCCAGACTCCAGCCTTGAGGACGCCCACTGGCCGGGGCAACTGTTTCTCTCTCCCTGAGCCTGGCTGGACCAGGAGGACGCACAGGGGACCCCCAACCCCCCCCCCAGTGGCCGGCAGAGGCATCACCCACAGAACCCCATCCCATTTAGAACCAGAGCCCGGGGAGGTGCCCCTCTAGGCCTTACGCGGCCCTTGGGGATACCCAGGGCCTTTGCATCACCGGAAGACTCATCTTGGCTCACAATAGGGTTCCCACCCCCAGGAGCCCTCCTCCGGAGCCCAGCGGGGCCTGAGACCACCCGAGATGTGGTGTCTGTCGGACCAGCGTCCGGTGCCCGGGCCTTTCCTACCGTAGAAGGCGGAGGGCGGGTCGTGGAAGAAGGGGTAGTCGGTGCCGAAGAGCAGGTAGGCGCTGTAGCTCCAGCAGCCCAGGTAGAAGAGAAACTTCCAGGCGCTCTCGGGCATCTTGGCGGCATCTCGGGGCTGGAGGCGGCACCGCCTGGCCAGGGGCTGCGGGGAGGCGGGCGGCGTGAGCCGGGCAGCCGGGCCGGCGGCAGGGAGCCCGGTGCGCCCGCGGAAACCGGGCCCCAAGGCTGACAGCCAAAGGGCTAAACTTAGCGCCCAGCTGTCCCCCGGCCCGGCGCCTGGCGCGGGGCCGGGAGCGGCCCTGGGGCCCGGGCTGAGGTCGCAGGGGTGGGATGGGCGGAGGAGGGCAGGGGCCTGGGAGACGGCAAGGGGGGAACGGAGGAGGGTCGCGGGGAGCCCCGGGGCCCACACCTGTCAGTCAGGGGGACCGGTGGGCGGGGCGTGGGCGGGGCCTCGGGGCGGGGCCGCGCCGTGGGAGAAGGCCCCGCCCCCTTCCTGGGCGGAGGGGGCCCAGGAGCCGGCTGCCCGGGGTTGCCGTGGAAACAGGCGGCGCCGCCCCGTCACCCCGGCCACCGGGCAGGGCCGGGCCGGGCGGAGGGGCCGCCCACCGACTGCGGGGAACGCGGGGCGCGGGGCCCCCTCCGCGGCCCTCTCGGGCCCCCGCGCGGCACGCGCCCCGGGGGCGGCTCGGCGCCCTTCCGGCGGAGGCGCTTGTCGGGGTCCCCCCCCCCGTGACGCAAAGGCGAGGGTGGGCGCAGCGGCCGCCGGGCAACACCCCGCGTCCCCGCCAGGCCCGGCCTCTCCTTGGCCCGCACAGAAAGGTCCTTTGTTGGCGCTGGGCGCGGGCCCCGCACCCCCAGCCCGGCCCGGGGCGCCGCCCGCCCGACACCTGCCGGGGAGACCCCTCCCCAGGGCGGGGCGCCCCAAGGTCAGCGCCAGGGTCACGCGGGACCCCCGGGATCCGCGGCCCCCGCGCAGCGCGCGCCCCGAGCCCCCGAGCCGAGCGGGGCGGGGCGGGCTCCGGGCCGTGCGGCCTCCGGCGCCCCGGCCGCAGCCTGCGCCCGGCCGGCCCGGGGTGACCCGAGATCCCCGGTCCCCAGGCCGCGCCCCCGCGCCCCGCAGGCCGCACTGACCCGAAAGAGGCGCGCGGTGGCCGCGGCGCGCAGCGCCGTCCAGCCGAGCGCGCCGAGCGCCAGCAGCAGCAGCTCGGGCGGCGCCAGGTGCGCGTGCTCCGCCAGGCCGCGGCGCGCCAGGCCCCAGCCGCAGTCCGCGCAGCCCCGCGCCGCCGCCAGCGCGCTGCCCCAGCCGCGCTGCACCAGCTGCGCGTAGCTCGGCATGGGCTCGGGCCCCGCCGGCCCCGCCGCGACCCCCGCCGCCGCCGCCATGCGCCCGCACGCCCGCCGCCCGCCGCGGAGCCGCCCGAGCCGCGCGCCCGCGTCACGCGCCGCAGCGGAGCCCCGCGCGGGGGTCGGCGGGGGCGTGGCCGGCGCAGGCTCCGCCCCACGGGGTGCGCGGCCCGCTCGCTCCGCTGCAGCTCCGGCGCGGGGACCGCGGGCGGCCGGCGCCTCACCGCACCGCGCAGTCGGCACGCGGAGGCCAAGGACGCCCGCCGGGGCCGGGTCGGCTGCCGGGGACCGCGATGCTCCCAGGGCCGGGCGCGGCCTCCGGTCGGGACACCGCCCGGCCCCGCCGGGCCCACCTTGGCCCTCACGCGACCCGGGAAAGAGAACACGGGCCTCGTGTCCCCGCACGTGGAGCCCGGAGCTGGGGTCTCAACGCCGCCCGGCCCGGCCCCCCCCAGCCCCACACTTGGGCCCTGGCCGGGCCAGGCGTCCCCCCACCGCACCCCACGGCTACCCCCGTCCCCGCCACCCTCTGCAGCCCCCCGCCTGCTGCCCTTCCGCAGACCTGACCCGGGCCCGACCGGGCCGTCCCCCCCCTTCTGCCCCCCCCCCCCCCCCCCCCGCCTGCCCCCTCACCCCGCACCCCTGCTCCGGAGACGCGCCCCGGTGCGGGCCGGGGTCTCATCACACCCTGGGGTGCACGTGTGCGCGTGTGCACGGCTGGCCCAGCAGGAGGCCTGAGCACCAAGCACCCCCGGGGCTCCCCGGCCCCGCGATCTGGCGCCCAGCCCATGGCACCCCTAGGTAACGGGAGAGGCTGTGCCCTGGGGCTGCGCCTCGAGTTTCTTCCTGGCGGTGGTGAGGCTGGCACAGGTGTGTGGGGCTGGTGCAGGCGCCCGGCCTGCGGCTCACGAGGGGTCAGGGGTCCTGAGCCCGGCTCACACCCAGGGCCAGCCCCGTCCCCTGCGTGGGGGCCGCTTGCTCTCTGGTCCTGGCAACCAGGAACGGAGTTGAGTTTCAGGCAGGGCCCTGGGGACGGATGAGAACGGCCTGGAAAGCCAAGTGTCTCATCTACTCCCAGGACACAAGAGGCGGCCAGTGCGCGCAGGCTGTGGCCGGGCCCTGGCCGGTTCCCCAGGAACTCGCATCTTCCCGAGGCTCAGACCTTTGCGGGTGCCTCGAAGGGCCACCCCGCCCAGAACCTGTCCTGGGGCACGGGGCTCAGTGTGGGGGGCGCCCCAGCCCAAGCCGGCCTCCTCCACCCTGCTCCTGCCCCACGGGGCTCAGTGTGGGGGCCCCCCAGCCCAGGCCGGCCTCCTCCACCCTGCTCCTGCCCCACGGGGCTCAGTGCAGGGGGGCCCCCCAGCCCAGGCCGGCCTCCTCCACCCTGCTCCTGCCCCACGGGGCTCAGTGCAGGGGGGCCCCCCAGCCCAGGCCGGCCTCCTCCACCCTGCTCCTGCCCCACGGGGCTCAGTGCAGGGGGGCCCCCCAGCCCAGGCCGGCCTCCTCCACCCTGCTCCTGCCCCACGGGGCTCAGTGCAGGGGGGCCCCCCAGCCCAGGCCGGCCTCCTCCACCCTGCTCCTGCCCCACGGGGCTCAGTGCAGGGGGGCCCCCCAGCCCAGGCCGGCCCCTCCACCCTGCTGCCGCCCTCTGGTGGGCAGCCTGACCCACCGAGGCACAGGGCCTGGCCACAGCCTGACCCACCGAGGCACAGGCTGGCCACCTTGGCTTCCGTCTTGGGGACACTGCGAGGGTGGAGCAGGGTGAGGGGTGGGCACAGACGGCCACAGCCCTCGACATGAGGGGCAGAGGGCGGCTTGGTTCCAGTCTTGGCCCCCACTGAGCACGAGGCACCAGGTGGGCGGGGCCCGGGCAGTGGCCCCTCCCCCACCGGTCACCAGAGACCACGCACAGCCGGGGTGGGGACACGGCAGAGCCCAGACATTTATTGGTGGCGTGGGGGGTGGGTGCGGGGCAGGTGCTCAGGCACTAGGGGTGTACTGCAGCGCCAGCCGGTCAAACTCCTTCTCCTGCAGCACAAGGGGGAACAGGGAGGGGGTGGTGAGTGGGGGGGGGAGATGGGGGGTAAGGAGCCCCGCCGGGAGGGGGCAGGATGCAGGGATGGGGAGCCTGGCGGCATGCAGTCCCTGGCCAGGCGCAGGCCGAGGGTGACCCACCTTGACCTGGTACTCCTTGATGAAGGGGTGCCACCGGTGCCCGTCCTTCAGCTGGGACAGGTAGCGGTTTGTCACCTGGGGGCGTGGGCAGCCAGACTGAGACGACCCCCCCAGGCCCCCGGCCAGGTGGAGGCCTGTCTCCTCAGTGCCCCTCCCCCCTGCTGGCACCCAGGAGGGGGAGGGGCACCGGGGCCCACACAGTGACCCCGTGGGGACTTCGGGGCAGGGCTGCACCTGGGAAGCCTGGGTGGGGCCCGAGTTCAAGTTCCAGGGAAGGGGCTCTCCTGCCACTTCCCTGCCTGCAGGGCGGGGTGGAGGCCCCCCAGATAGCAAGAGAGACGGGGACTCAGCCCTCCCCCGCGCAGGCCTCACCTCTGGGGCCTTGCCCAGGTGCTGCGACAGGACCACGAGGTTCACCAGGGTCTCCGGGTGGCTGCTGTCCTGCACGGGCGGGCAGGGCTGTGTCAGTGCAGCCCACTCGGGCTCCTGCTCCACGCCGCCTGGACCATTTCCCCTCTCCTTGTGTGCCAGTCCTGGGGCTCGAAACCCAGGCTTGGGCTGCCTCTGGGCCCGTTTTGTCAAGGACGGCACTCTACCACTGGAGCCACAGCTCCCTTTCCAGTGTTTGGGTGGTTCACTGGCGGCTCACGGCGGGCTTCAGACCGTGATCCTGCGCCACCAGCCCCCTCAGGGGCTGAGCATGGCGCCCGGCCTTAATGCCTTCTGAGGCTCGTGTGGGCAAACCAGGGGCTCACAGGACAGACGCCACCCCCGCCAAGGGCTGGGCGCGGGCGCACACCCCCCTCCAGTGACAAGCCCAGGCCTGCCTTGGGACAGTCAGGGCAGCTTGGGGATGTGGCTCAGGTGGCAGAGCGGCTGTCAGGGGATGGCTGACAGCCCGCGGTTCCCTCGGGGCAGGCCTGGGCCGGGCCGACACGTGCACGTACAGAACCGCAGGGCCACCGCCTGCTGGGTCACGGATGCCCCCCGGGAGGGGACCGCCAAGCGGGCACCAGCCGGAGCTGGATCCCCGCGCCTCCCCCTCTCCCCCTCCCCCCCCCCCCCGCGGCACCCACCTTGTCCAGCGCCTCCTGCAGGACGGCCTCGGCGGCCTCCCAGTGGCCCTGTGCCATGTGGCCGGCCGCCTGCCCGGTGAGCAGCAGCAGGGTGGGCGCGCACCTGTCCGCCAGCTCTTGAAAGATGTAGTAGGCGTCCTGCAGCTTGTCACCTCCCTGCGGGCGGCACCAGCACTCGTCAGGCCCCCCCCCCCCCCCCCGCGGGGCCACGCCCGCACCCTCGGGGAGGCCCTGGGGCAGGTGGGTGACACGGGGCACCAGGGCAGGGCTGGGCAGGGAGGGAGCGCTCAGCCGTCAGGAGGCCGGGCTGGGAGGCCCGAACCCAGGAGGCTGAGGCCAGCCTGGGGCTGCCCTCCCCCCACACCCATGGCACATCTGAAAAGCGGGGACAAAGAGCAGCTGGGGATGGCGGCCAAGTCGGTGAAGGGGGTGCTGAGTGCCATGCTGGGGGCAACAGGGCCCCGCGGAGCAGGGGAGCCCCACACCCTGGGGAGAGGCGCTGCCTGGCCCCCAGGGTCCCTGGGAGGCGGAGATGAGAGGGGTGGGAATGGGGGATGTGGAGAAGGCGTGCCCACGCGGCCATAGACAACAGGCCCGGCTGGGCACCGCCCCACACCCTCACCACAGCTAGGTTGACCCAGGCGGTAGCCAGCTGGGTCAGGGTGGCGTCTTCGTCCTGGTCCTGCATTTTCTTCAGCTCCTTCCTGTGGGTGACAGGGAGGGCGCTGAGTGCCAGGGTGGTGGTGGCGGTGGCCGCAGGCTGGGACTGGCCTGCTCTGGGGCCCCTGGTTCCTGGGGGGCCTTGGTGCCGAGCCAGCCTGAGGGCCCAGAGCTCCGCGGCCAGGGACGGGGGAGAGCCGGGGCGCGGCGGTGGGGGGCAACACGGCTGAGCTTTTCTGCGATGCTGTGGGGGCTGCAGGCGGCGGCGTTCAGGCTCCACAGACCTTGGGGTCCGGCGCTTCGGAAAGGTGTCACCGCGGGGCGCCCCAGCGCGAGCCGTGGCCGCCCAGCCCTCGCCCAGCGCGGCCCCAGTCCACATGTCCAGCCTTTAGAGGCTCGGGTTCCCCGTGCCACCTGCCTCACCGTGGGGGAAACTGAGGCAGAGGCCCCGATGCTGGCGGGTCTGGCAACTCACCGGGCAAGGTCCAAGCGGTCGAGCTTTAGGAGGATTTGCACCGTCATGGCCATGCTGCGGACAGAGCGGTGCCATAAGCCCCCACCTGGACCCGAGGCAAGGAGGGGCCGCCTTCCAGAATGTTCCAACCCCCTCCCCCGCTCCGGCAAACAGCCCAGAGTGCCACACGCAGGCCCTGGGAGCCCTGGGGCCAGCGCTCACCACTCCAGGCTGTCGCCCTGGTGCAGGGCGCGCAGCGCAGCGTCCGGGTTCTGGTCGTGGAAGTAGATGGCGGCCGCCATGAGCAGGAAAGTGGTGTTGCTCACGTCCACGCTTCTGCTCATCTCCCGGTCCAGATCGGCCACGATGGTGTCCCTGCGGGACAGGGCCGCTCAGGGCGGAGGCGAGGTGGAGGCAGCCTTCCCCGGGACGGAAAGATCTCATCATGGCAGACAGAGCAGGGTCCCTGCGTGCCCCAGAGGGCGCCAGGACTCAAGGGGGGGGAAGAGGGGTTACCCACGGGCAGGATGGGGTATGATCACAAAGCCACAGTGACTCAGGGCTTCCAGGTTCCACAGCCCAGGGTCACACGAAGCCCAGGCTGGGCACAGAAGGGCAGGGCCACGGGAGGGCCACACACAGCTCCGGGGCGATGCCCAGGGCTGGCATGTCACCCTGAGCCCGGCCCACAGGCAGGGAGGCGGTGCCTATCACCAGCCTCTACTGTTCAGAAGGGAAAAGGAGGCCCGGCGGGGGGCGGGGCGGGGTGGGGTGGGGAGCAGGACAGGCAGCCCTGGCTCAGGATCGGCCTCACCGGCGGCTCTCGCTGGCCAGGTACTCAGCAAAGGTGCGCACGGCCTGCAGCTCGGGCGCCGAGGAGGGCTGGATCTCGTCCAGGACCACGCCGTACTTCCGCTGTGGGAACAGACAGGTACCAGTCAGCATCCTCAGCCTGCTGCCCACCCAGGCCCTCAGCGCCAGCCCTGCCTCCCGCTTCAGGGCTGGCCTGGGTGACAGGGCGTGACGGCTGCGCTGCCCATGGTCCCGCCGGGCACCGGGGCAGGTCAGTGCCACTCCCCAGCTGTCGGCTGGGATCCCAGCGTGGCCCTGCGGCTGGCCGGCCAGGGCTTTGGCGGCCTGTGGCCACGGGTGCTAGCCACACCAGTCGTAGGGGCTGGCGATCATGTAGGCCAGATCCCAACTTGGTCGCTTCCCATGGCCCATCCTGCTCCTTCCTGTCCCCACGCAGCCATCCCTGGAGTCTGGCTGGTCAGCGACCTGGCCCCTGCCCAGGGCTCACCACACCTCTGCGCCCACACTCACCTGGGCAAGGTACGCTCTGTACAGGAAGACGTCCCTCTCCACCTCCTTCTCAGGGCTTGACAGCTATGGGAACACGGGAGGGTCAGCACCAGTGGGAACTCCAGAATGGCCCACCCTGACCGCCCGGAGGGACAGCTCGAGGACGCTCAGTCCTGGAGGACCCCAGCAGCCGCTCAGAGCACTAGCGGGACTGTCACTAGAGGATCACGGTGCCACTGCGCCTAGTGTTATTTTTATTTTTTTATTTTTTTTGGGGGTCTGGTTGTGGGGCCTGAACTCGGGGCCTGGGCGCTGTCCCTCAGCTCTTCAGCTCAAGGCTAGCGCTCTACTGCTTGAACCACAGCACCACTTCTGGCTTTTTTCTTTTTGCTTACGTGGTGCTGAGGAATGGAACCTCAGGGCCTCAGGCATGCAAGGTAAGCGCTCAACCACTGAGTCACTTTCCCAGCCCCCTAGCGTTATTTTTAGTGTTGGGTTATGTTTTGTTTATGCCAGTCCTAGGGCTTGAACTCATGGCCTGGGCGCTGTCCCTGAGCCTCTTTGTACTCAAAGCAAGCATTCTACCACTTGAGCCATAGCACCACTTCTGGTTTTCTGGTGGTTTATTGGAGACAAATCTCACAGACTTTCCTGCCTGAGTTGGCTTGGAACCATGGTCCTCAGATCTCAGCCTCCTGAGTAGCTGGTATGACAGGGGGGAGCTTTCAGTAGTGGGTTCTTTTCTTTTTTTCTGTCTGTCGTTGGGCTTGAACTCTGGGCCTGGGCGCTGTCCCAAAACTCTTCAGCTCAAGGCAAGCGCTGTACCACTTGAGCCACAGCACCACTTCCTGTTTTCTGAGTGGTTTATTGGAGTAAGTCTCACAGACTTTCCTGCCTGAGCTGGCACCGCGGTCCTCAGACCTCAGCCTCCTGAGTAGCTGGGATGACAGGCGGGGGCCACCAGCACTTGGCTTTCATGAGGGCCCCTGACTGCCCCGCTGCCCAGCGCAGCACGTGTTCCCTCTGGGAGCCTGACCAGGCTGCTCTGCTCCTGGGGCTCTGCCTCCAGCACCCGCAGGGCAGGATCTGGGGATCCAGGAATGGGGTTCAGGGCCACAGGCCTCTGTGCAGCCTCGACAGGACTGAGGAGGAGGCCCCACCTCCACGTTGCCATACCAACAGCCTGGAAACTGCCAGACCAGGGAAGGCCCAGAGTGAGCGGCTCGTCCGTCCCCAGGACTGCTGGGCCTCTGGCCTCATCCCCTATCCCAGTGGGACCATACAGTGAATGCGTGCGGGGAAAGCCTGGCAGCCGCCGCTTCTGCTCAGGGCCTGGCAGCTGCAGCTTAAGACATGGTCTCTTCTAAGTAAATGACCTTCAAAGGGGACACCAGCAAGAATGACAGCCTAGGGGATCCCCAAACCATAACCGAAAAGACAAGCCAGGTGTGGTGGCGCGTGCCTGTCATCCTAACTACAAAGGAGGCAGAGATCAGGATTATGGCTCCAAGCCAGCCCTGGCACAAAGTGAGACTCCCATCTCCACAGATAAAGACATGCGCGTGATGGTGTGTGCAGACCATCCCAGCTACAAAAAAGCAGAAGCGGGGAGGACCAGCCCAGGCTGGCCCACACCAGTGGTTCTGGAGACTGTAATCTGTAGCTACTCAGGAGGCTGAGACCTGAGGATCAGGATTCAAAGCTGTCCGAGGCTGGAAAGTCCATGAGACACTTATCTCCAACTGAACTGCCAAAGCCAGTAGTGGAGAGCTATGGCTCAAGTGGTAGGGCGCCGGCCTTGAGGTGTTTTGTTTTGTTTTTAAAGCTCAGAGTCAGCCCAGGCCGGGAGTTCAAACCCCAGAACTGACAGAAAAAGAAAGCTAAGAACAGGGGCGCCAATGCCTCCCTTTCGTCTTCCGGGGTGCATTGGGGGACCCAAAGTACAGCCGGGATTCGCTGGTCCAGGCTCAGGCAGGGCCCCCAGGAGCAGGCGGAGAAGGCCAGGCAGGGCCCCCAGGAAGAGGAGGCCCAGGCAGGGCCCCCAGGAGCGGGCGGAGAAGGCCGGGCAGGGCCCCCAGGAGCAGGCGGAGAAGGCCGGGCAGGGCCCCCAGGAGCAGGCGGAGAAGGCCGGGCAGGGCCCCCAGGAGCAGGCGGAGAAGGCCGGGCAGGGCCCCCAGGAGCAGGCGGAGAAGGCCGGGCAGGGCCGGAGAAGGCCGGGCAGGGCCCCCAGGAGCAGGCGGAGAAGGCCGGGCAGGGCCCGCAGGAGCAGGCGGAGAAGGCCGGGCAGGGCCGGAGAAGGCCGGGCAGGGCCCGCAGGAGCAGGCGGAGAAGGCCGGGCAGGGCCCCGGGAAGAGGAGGCCCAGGAAGCGCCCCGCGCCCCACCTTCACCCGCTGCGCCTCGTTGATGCACTGCTGGTAGCTGCCGATGTAGAAGGCGTTCTTCACGTCGAAGAGCTCGTCCACTTCCCCGGAGCCGCCCGAGGCCGGGCCCGGAGCCGGAGGAGCCATGGCGCTCAGCGTTTGACTCTCTCCTCTTCCGGAGTGACACGTAAGGCGGAAGCAGGACCCGCCCCCGAGCACCATGGGAAATGTAGTCTACTCGAATGAGCCAATGGGAACTCTGAAACGGGATAAAGTAGGCGGGGCATGCAACAGCGGTTCTCCGGGACTGGGAGGGATGGGGGAGGGAGGATGATGAAAGGGGTGACGGCGATCAAATGCGCAAACTGTATCCACAAACTGCTCTGCTGAATGGTAGCTCCTTTGTACAGCTACTTAAGGATACTTCTTTAAAGAAAGTCTCTCAAAGCATGCTGGGAATTGTAGTTTGTTCGATCCCGCGAGCGCGAGGGAGTGGGTAGGGTGGGGAAAACACGTCAGGAGGCGCTCGGGGCTGCGATTGGCTAAAAGAGTTGGAGAAGGTAGGACCAAGACGGGAAAGCGGCCCAATAAACAGCGAAGGCCTCTGCTCGACGTCACAGCCACGCGCCGGAAGTGCCCTTTTCCAGGTTTCCTCGCTGCTGGGGGCGATGGCCGGCTTCGCGGAGCTCGGGCTGTCGGCGTGGCTGGTGGAGCAATGCCGGCAGCTGGGGTTGAAGCAGCCCACGCCGGTGCAGCTGGGCTGCATCCCCGCCATCCTGGAGGGTGCGTGAGACCCCGCGCAGCTGCCTCTGGGGTGGTCTCCGCCTTCCCGCCTGGAAGAGGCGCCCAGCCGGGGCCGGGGCCAGAGCCGGGGCCAGAGCCGGGGCCGGGGCCAGAGCCGGGGCCAGAGCCGGGGCCAGAGCCGGGGACAGAGCCGGGGACAGAGCCGGGGCCAGAGCCGGGGACAGAGCCGGGGCCAGAGCCGGGGACAGAGCCGGGGACAGAGCCGGGGACAGAGCCAGGGCCGCGGACAGAGCCGGGGCCAGAGCCGGGGACAGGGCTGGGGACAGAGCCGGGGCCAGAGCCGGGGACAGAGCCGGGGACAGAGCCGGGGACAGAGCCGGGGACAGAGCCGGGGACAGAGCCGGGGACAGAGCCGGGGACAGAGCCGGGGACAGAGCCGGGGACAGAGCCGGGGCCGCGGACAGAGCCGGGGCCAGAGCCGGGGACAGGGCTGGGGACAGAGCCGGGGCCAGAGCCGGGGACAGAGCCGGGGACAGAGCCGGGGCCAGAGCCGGGGACAGAGCCGGGGACAGAGCCGGGGACAGAGCCGGGGACAGAGCCGGGGACAGGGCTGGGGACAGAGCCGAGGCCAGGGACAGAGCCGGGGCCAGAGCCGGGGACAGAGCCGGGGCCAGAGCCGGGGCCAGAGCCGGGGCCAGAGCCGGGGCGGCGGACAGAGCCGGGGCCAGAGCCGGGGCCGGGGACAGAGCCGGGGACAGAGCCGGGGACAGAGCCGGGGCCAGAGCCGGGGACAGAGCCGGGGACAGAGCCGGGGACAGAGCCGGGGCCGCGGACAGAGCCGGGGACAGAGCCGGGGACAGGGCTGGGGACAGAGCCGAGGCCAGGGACAGAGCCGGGGCCAGAGCCGGGGCCAGAGCCGGGGCCGCGGACAGAGCCGGGGCCAGAGCCGGGGCCACGGACAGAGCCGGGGCCAGAGCCGGGGACAGAGCCGGGGACAGAGCCGGGGACAGAGCCGGGGACAGAGCCGGGGCCAGAGCCGGGGACAGAGCCGGGGCCGCGGACAGAGCCGGGGACAGAGCCGGGGACAGAGCCGGGGACAGAGCCGGGGCCGCGGACAGAGCCGGGGCCAGAGCCGGGGCCAGAGCCGGGGCCGCGGACAGAGCCGAGGCCGGGGCCGCGGACAGAGCCGGGGACAGAGCCGGGGCCAGAGCCGGGGCCAGAGCCGGGGACAGAGCCGGGGACAGAGCCGGGAACAGAGCCGGGGACAGAGCCGGTGCCGCCGACAGAGCCGGGGACAGAGCCGGGGCCAGAGCCGGGGCCGCGGACAGAGCCGAGGCCGGGGCCGCGGACAGAGCCGGGGACAGAGCCGGGGACAGAGCCGGGGACAGAGCCGGGGACAGAGCCGGTGCCGCGGACAGAGCCGGGCCGGAGTGTGTGTAGGTGGGGGGGGTGGGGGGGGAGGCGGGCAACAGAGCTGGGGTCCCGGGTGGCGCCACCTCTGGAACATTCCTTGTCTCCAAGCGCCGGGAGAGGTTGATAAATGGTGTCACGAGAAACTGAAAGTGGGGCCCAGCTGGCCTTTCCCAGGGGAAACTGAGGCTGCCAACACTAATAATGGCGAGGCCAGGACTCTAGGGTCCTCTGTATGCGCCTTTCTCTCCACCCGGTGTGGCCGCTAATGAGGCTTCCTCAAGAGCCCGGGGGTGTAGTATGTGAACTGGGCGTTAGGGTTCAGGGTTCCCCAAGCTCAGGTCCTCAGGGACAGTCAAAATGGCACGGTGCTTAGGAACGCGTGGGGCTTCCGAGCAAACTGTGCCCCGTGTTGGCCTCTGAGACTCAGCCCCCCCCCTTTACTGGAGATGACAACTTCTCCCTTGCTAGGGTTTGAGGTTTGCAAAAGGCAGCTGGGTGCAGAGCGCCAAGTCGCCTATTATTGGAGGTTCAGAAAACCTAAGGAGTGAGTGAGTGTTATCTCGAGGAGCGTGGATTCCGGGTGCAGGGTGACCTCGTTGCCTCGCCCTCTGTCCAGGTCGAGACTGCCTGGGCTGCGCCAAGACCGGCAGCGGCAAGACCGCTGCGTTTGTGCTGCCTATCCTACAGAAGCTGTCCGAGGATCCCTACGGCATCTTCTGCCTTGTCCTGACGCCCACTAGGTGAGCCCCTCACCACCCCCACCCCCCAGGGGCGCGACAGCTTCACGTGCCTTTCACTCTCTGAGCTGTGTCTCCCCCACAAGCAGAATAGGGGGAGTCACACCGCATGATTGAACCAGATGGTGAGTGGGAAAAGTTCTCAGCACAGGGCTTGGCCAGGCAATTGCCAGGTGGGATCTGCAAGCTGCCTGGCAGCTGAGAAGTAAAGTTCTGTCTGCTTTGTGTGTGTACTGGTACTGGGCTTGAACTCAGGGCCTTGAGCTCTTGACTGGCTCTTTCCTCTCCAGCCTGCCATTGTCATTTGAGCTTCACCTCTACTTGGTGCTTTTTGCTAGTTAATCAGGGATAAGAGTCTCTCAGACTTTCCTGCTAGGGCTGGCTTTGAGCTGCTATCTTCAGATCTCAGTCTCCTCTGAGTAATTAGGATTACAGGCATGAAGCACAGGTGCCCAGCCAAAGAAAGTATTTTAAGCAAAAGGACCTGCATGCAGAGGGGTGAGGGAGGAAGGGGCAGAAAAGGTGCTCTGCCAAGCCTCCAATGCCAGGGAGAGGTTTGAACTGACTCTGAGGGTATCTGAACAAGCTAGGGAAGGCTAGGAGTCATGACAAAGACAGCAGTGCAGAGCATGGCTTTCAGACTGGCCAGCCCAGGAAAAGGGGATATGGAAGGTTGGGTCTCTGGCTTTTGTGGCTGACCCTCTAGTGTGAGGGATTCGAAAAAAGGTGCAAGTTTAGGGTGTGAAGGGGTGTGAAGTGTTGTGGACTGAGTCCGGAGCAGGCTCTAGCACTCAACGGGCGAATGGTGGCAGGAGGCTGGGGCAGGGGTGGAATGGGGGCCCCCGGGCTGCACCCTTGTCACCGCCTGTCTGCCCGCCCGTCCGCAGGGAGCTGGCCTATCAGATTGCAGAGCAGTTCCGGGTGCTGGGGAAGCCACTGGGCCTGAAGGACTGCATCGTTGTCGGTGGCATGGGTAAGGCCCAGAGGCCAGGAAGTTCCGGGTGTGGAAACCCCGCACCGCAGCTTCCCGTCCAGCTCACCTCTACCCTCACCCCAGACATGGTGACCCAGGCACTGGAGCTCTCCCGCAAGCCACACGTGGTCATTGCCACGCCAGGGCGCCTAGCCGACCACCTGCGCAGCTCCAACACCTTCAGCATGAAGAAGATCCGCTTCCTGGTAAGCCAGCCTTGCCCCTGGGGGGGGGGCTATGGGGGAAGGGCTTTCAGGAGCCTGGGTGCCACCTCCCACTTGCAAGCCTACATTCCAGCTGTCTCCAGGAAAGTTCTGGAAAAAGTGACTGTGCCCAGGGGCAAAGGAGAAGGGACGTGTAGTGGGGGGGCACTTTGTGGTGACTCAGCCTGGCATGCCTGCCCCCCGGTTCCATCCAGGTTCCTCCAAGAAGAAAGGCAGGCAGGCAGCGAGCCCATCTGTAATCCCAGCTGCTTAGTAGACAGGGCTGGACGAGCACTGAAGGGCCTGCGTGTGGCCTGGCAAGTTCAGGGCCTTCCGTTCAGACCCCAGGACTATTTCCAGCTCAAAAAAAGCAAAGGGGGAGGCATGCTGGGGGGGGCACCTCCCCACGGCTCTGCCTTCCCCAGGTGATGGACGAGGCCGACCGGCTGCTGGAGCAGGGCTGCACGGACTTCACGGTGGACCTGGAGGCCATCCTGGGTGCCGTGCCCGCCCGCAGGCAGACGCTGCTCTTCAGCGCCACGCTGACTGACACGCTCAAGGAGCTGCAGGGCCTGGCCACCAACCAGCCCTTCTTCTGGGAGGCCCAGGCTCCGTGTGTGCCCGGCTGGGGGTGGGGGGTGCCCCCGACAGGCTGGGGCGGCCAGTGGGACACTGAGACGCGGCCACCTGCTGTCCCAGAGTGCGCACGGTGGAGCAGCTGGACCAGCGCTACGTGCTGGTGCCCGAGAAGGTGAAGGACGCGTACCTGGTGCACCTGGTCCAGCACTTCCAGGATGAGCATGAGGACTGGGCCATCATCATCTTCACCAACACCTGCAAGTGCGTGCGTGCTCAGACCCGGCCCCGACTCCAGCCCCGCCCTCAGCCCCTCACCCCTGCATGGGGGGGGGGGCTGTGCTGTGGCCAAAGTTATGTGAGTGGCAGTTATGTGAGTTTGCTTTGAGCCTCCGTCCGCTCAGGACAGGAGGCCGACACACAGCAGGACCACGCAGGGTACCTGCTTCCAGGAGAGCAGGTGGGGCCAGAGGAGCTGTCAGGTGCAGTAAGATCCTGCAGCTTATGGTCCTGGAGGTGCAGCCCAGGTCCCTGTGCTGAGCGCTGGCGCCAGCCTCCCCCCTCCCCCCAAGCCGGGCCTGGTCTCCACTCACACCACGCTCCCACTCCCACTGATTGAGCCCAGGGAGGGAGCGGCTGGCTAGCTGGCGGGTTCTCAGCGCCCCCCACTCCGGGGCTGTGCAGGGCCACCGAGCGCATGCCGGGTGGGGTATGGGCGGCCGGAACCGCACAGTGACACAAGCGTCCCCTCCACCCCCAGGACCTGCCAGATCCTGTGCATGATGCTGCGCAAGTTCAACTTTCCGGCCGTGGCCCTGCACTCCATGATGAAGCAGGTGGACAGCTTACTCCCCCTTCCCCCCTCCCCTCCCCGGCAGACACTGCCCTGCCCTGGCCCTGGCCCTGCCTCTGCCCCTGCCCTGCCCTGCCCTGCCCCTGCCCTGCCCTGCCCTGCCCCTGCCCCTGCCCTGCCCAGCCCTGCCCCTGCCCTGCGCTGCCCTGGCCCTGCCCCGTACTGCCCTGCCCCGCCCTGCTCTGTACTGCCCTGCCCTGCCCTGCCCTGCCCTGGCCCTGCCCTGCCCTGCTCTGTCCTGCCCTGGCCTGCTCTGTACTGCCCTGCCCTGCCCTGCCCTGCCCCGTACTGCCCTGCCCTGCCCTGCCCCGCCCTGCTCTGTACTGCCCTGCCCTGCCCTGCCCTGCCCTGCCCCTGCCCAGCCCTGCCCCTGCCCTGCCCTGCCCCGCCCCGTACTGCCCTGCCCTGCCCTGCCCTGCCCTGCTCTGTACTGCCCTGCCCTGGCCCTGCCCTGCCCCGTACTGCCCTGCCCTGGCCCTGCCCTGCCCCGTACTGCCCTGCCCTGCCCCGTACTGCCCTGCCCTGGCCCTGCTCTGTACTGCCCTGCCCTGCCCTGCCCTGGCCCTGCCCCGCCCTCACCACTCCCACGTGTTTCCCCTGGCACAGAAAGAACGCTTCGCCGCTCTGGCCAAGTTCAAGTCCAGCATCTACCGGATCCTGATCGCGACTGACGTGGCTTCCCGGTGAGCAACCGGCCCACTGGCCCCCGAGCAACCGGCCCACTGGCCCCCGAGGGGGCTGCCCAGGGAGCCGCTCCCAGGGCAGGCCTGGAGCCTGAGCAATCTCTACTCCCAGGGGTCTGGACATCCCCACCGTGCAGGTGGTCCTCAACCATAACACCCCAGGCCTGCCCAAGATCTACATCCACCGGGTGGGCCGCACAGCCCGTGCAGGTGAGCGCCCGTGGCCCTGGCCCCGGGGACACGCCGCCGACCACCGCCCTGTCGGGAGGACCAGGCGCTGGTGAAGCCCCCTCCAGCCCTGGGGCCTCGGGCATGGCCGCCCGAGTGAGGGGTACACTGCAGCGGGAGACCTCTGGGGTGGATTTGGGGGTCCTGGGTTTAGTCACCCAACAGGGCTGTTCCTGTCCACCATCAGAGAAACGGGGTGTGGAGTTGGGGCACGGAGGTGCTGGTCAAGCCAACACCCAGGGCTGGGCTCCGGCATGAGTAAGCCCGGGGTCCCTGGCAGCCAAAGTGAAAAGGGTGAGCAGCTGCGTTAGGCCGCAGTGCCCTGCAGCTTCCTGGGAGCAGGCCGCCCTCCACTCAGAGCCCCCATGAGTGGAGCCCCGACACGGAGCTGCCGCTCCTGCCTGTGTTGCCCCGCGTGCCACCGCTGCCGTGTCCCGCAGGGCGGCAGGGCCAAGCCATCACGCTGGTGACGCAGTATGACATCCACCTGGTGCACGCCATCGAGGAGCAGATCCGTGAGTGCCGGGTGGGGCCGGCGGTGGGGAGGGGCTGGGGCTCCCCGACCGTGTGTGTGTGTGTGTGTGTGTGTGTGTGTGTGTGTGTGTGTGTGTGTGTGTGTGTGTGTGTGTGTGTGTGTGTGTGTGTGTGTGTGTGTCCCAGGCCGCCTCAGGCATGGCGTGGGAGGGGTGGGGGAGCAGGGCTGGCCCGGCGCTTGGCAGGCAGGACGCCACTGCTGGGGAGCCATGGCCCCCTTGATTTAGAGGCCGCGCCGCGCCAGTCAATAAAAGGAGACCGAGGCCGAGTGCGCAGTGCGTGGTCTTTAGTCTGGGACTGGTGGGATCTACAGCCGGCCCTGTCCGAAGGCGCCCGGCCCCTCCCCTTCCCGCCACGGCGCCCCACGCTGGCCTGAGCCCCGCCCGCCCCGCCCCGCAGAGAAGCAGCTGGAGGAGCTGGCGGTGGAGGAGGCGCAGGTGCTGCAGATCCTCACGCAGGTCAACGTGGTGCGGCGCGAGTGCGAGATCGTGAGTGGGGCCCGCGAGGGCGGGGCGCGGGGCGGGGCCGGCGGGCGGGGCTCGTGACGGCGCTGTCTGTCCCCGCCCCCAGAAGCTGGAGGCTGCGCACTTCGATGAGAAGAAGGAGATCAACAAGCGCAAGCAGCTCATCCTGGAGGGGAAGGTGGGCGGGGCCCGGGGCGGGGCCGGGGGCGGGGCGGCCGGGGCGGGGCGGCCGGGGCGGGGCGGCCGGGGCGGGGCGAGCCGAGGCTCAGCGCCCTCCCCATGTCGTCCCCCCCCCCCCCCCCCGTGCCGTCCCCCCCCCCCCCCAGGACCCCGACCTGGAGGCCAAGCGCAAGGCGGAGCTGGCCAGGATCAAGCAGCAGAAGGGGCGCTTCAAGGAGAAGGCGGGCGGGGCGGGTCGGCGGCCGCGGGCGCCACTGGCGGCGGCCACCCACCTGCCGGGCCCGCAGGCCCCGAGGACCGCGCGGGGCCCAGCGGGGCGCGGGGAGTCGGGTGCTCAATAAAAGTCTGGTCTGAAGCTTCGCGGTGCGGCTCCGGGGCGGGCTCAGGGCGCGGGCTCCGCCAGGCGCGGGCTCAGGATCCGCCAGGCGCGGGCTCAGGGCGCGGGCTCCGCCAGGCGCGGGCTCAGGATCCGCCAGGCGCGGGCTCAGGGCGCGGGCTCCGCCAGGCGCGCCAGGCCCTCGCGCAGCTCGCTCAGCTCGAACAGCCGCACGTCCAGCAGCTGCGCCGCGCGCCCCACCTCGGCCCGCGCCCGCTCGCGCTCGGCCCGCGCCTCCTCCAGGCTGCGCTCCGTCGCCCGCAGCTGGTGCTCCAGCTCCGCGTTGCGGGTCTCTAGGTCCTGCGGGGGCCGGGTGGGTAGAGTCGGGGTCCCGTGAGGTCCGGGGAGCCCGTCTCGGGGACACCCCGCGGGTTCCCGGGCCCCCGTCCCGCCCCAGGGCTCTGGCGCGGCCCGCGTCCTCCCCTCCCCGCACGCGGTTCCCCAAGTCCCCGCCACGCCGTCGGGCTGAGGGGTGTCCTGCGCGGGCGCGGGCGCACCTGCACCTTCTGCTGCGCCTCCTCGCGCTCCGCCGCGGCCTCGGGCGCCTCCCGGGGCCCCGCAGCCTGGCTCCGCAGCGTCTGGATCTCCTGGGAGAGGAGGGCGGGAGTCGGTGGCGGGGCCCTGCCGCGCGCGGGGGGCCGGGCCCGCGGCTCACCTGGTCCTTGGTCTGCACCAGCGCCTCCAGCTGCTCCCGTGCCGGGCCCGGCGCCTCCTCGCCGGCCGGGGGCGGCTCCGCGGCCGCCTGCGCCTCCAGCTCCGCCACCTGCGCGCGCCGCAAGCTCAGCCCTCCGCCCGCGCCCCCGGGCGCCCCGGCCCGGACCCCGCGCCGAGGGACGGAGGGCGCCTCACCCGCTGGCGCAGCCGCTCGGCCTCCGCTTGCTGGGCCTCCAGCTGCTGCCTCCACTGGGCGGCCGCGGCGTTGGCCTCCCGCAGCGCGCCCGCCAGCTTATTGTTGCTGTCCTGCAGCGCGAAGAACTCGGCCTCCCACTGCACCTCGCCCACCGAGCTGCGGGGGCCGGACGCGGGGGTCGGCGGGGCGGGGCCGCGAGGGGGCGGGACCGGGGTGGGCGGGGCCCGGGTGGGGCTGTGGGCGTGGTCTACGTGGGCACGTGGGAGGCGGGGCCGGGTGAGGCTGTGGGCGTGGGCACGTGGGAGGCGGGCCCGGGTGATGCTGTGGGCGTGGTCTACGTGGGCACGTGGGAGGCGGGGCCGGGTGAGGCTGTGGGCGTGGGCACGTGGGAGGCGGGCCCGGGTGATGCTGTGGGCGTGGTCTACGTGGGCACGTGGGAGGCGGGGCCGGGTGAGGCTGTGGGCGTGGACACGTGGGAGGCGGGGCCGGGTGAGGCTGCGGGCGTGGTCTACGTGGGCACGTGGGAGGTGGGGCCGGGTGAGGCTGCGGGCGTGGTCTACGTGGGCACGTGGGAGGCGGGGCCGGGTCGGCTGGGCCCCGCGCCGGGCCCGCGCGCGCTCACCCCTCGGACAGCATCTTCTTCAGCCGCTCCCGCTCGGTGGGGCCCGGGGCCTCGGCGCTCTGGCTGCGGAACAGCTTCTCCTCCCCGGGGCCGTTGGCGCTGACCAGGGGGCTCGGCGGCACCTGCGGGGGGGGGGGGGGCGGTGGGTGGGCGGTGGCCCGGGCCCTCCGCGCCGCCCCCGGCGCGCCCCGGCCCCTCCCCCCCCCCCCCCCGGCCCGCCCTCCCCGCCCGCTCCCCCCTCCCCCGCCCTCCCCGCCGCCCCCGGCGCGCCCCGGCCTCCTCCCGCTCCCCCCCCCCCGGCCTCCCCGCCGCCCCCCGGCCCGCCCCCCCCCGCCCTCCCCGCCCCCCCCCCGCCCTCCCCGCCGCCCCCGGCGCGCCCCGGCCTCTCCCCCCCCCCTCCCCCGCCGCCCCCGGCGCGCCCCGGCCTCTCCCCCCCCCCCCCGGCCCTCCGCGCCGCCCCCGGCGCGCCCCGGCCTCCTCCCTCCCCCCCGGCCCGCCCCCCCCGCCCGCTCCCCCCTCCCCGCCGCCCCCGGCCCGCCCCCCCCGCCCTCCCCGCCGCCCCCGGCGCGCCCCCCCCCCCGCCCTCCCCGCCGCCCCCGGCGCGCCCCGCGCAGACGCGCTGACCTGGTGGGCCGCGAGCCCCAGGGCCGCGCTGGGCAGCTCGCCCCCGTCCTGGGACTTGTCCCGGGCCAGCCGCGCGGCCTCCTTCACCTCCTGGAACTTGTCTGCAAACTGGGGGCGGAGCGGGCGGTCGGTCCTCCCCGGACCAGGCCGCTCGGCAGAGCGGGGCTCACGGCTCGCCGCTGCGAGAATAAACCTGTGCTTCTTAAAACAATTTCCCTTTGCTTAAAGGAAAAGTCATTTCTGAGCTGGGGGGTCAGGGGGCCTGAAGCCTGCACCCGGGAGGCTGAGGTCTGAAGGCCAAGGCTGGGGCCCGTCCCGCAGCCCACCTCCGGGCAGCCAGCAGACAACGAGGAAGGGCGCGCCGGAGCCGGGGACAGACACCAACCATCCTACCCTGAAGCCTGGTGTGGCCGTGCTTGTCAGCTCTCTGCTCAGGGCGACCAGCTGGGCTATATAGGCTGGTCCAGTAAAAAGTAGTGATAAAATGGGGGCCGGGGATACAGGTGTCAGGGGCTCACACCTGTCATCCTCACTACTCAGGCTGAGAGCCGAGGATCGAGATTGAAAGCCAGACTAGGAAGGGAAGTGCATGAGATCTCTCCACCAAAAAAAAGCTAGAAGTGGAGCTGTGGCTCACATGGTAGAGCACCAGCCTTGAGAGAGGAAAAACAACTCAGGAACAGAGCTCCTGCCCTGAGTTCAAGACCCAAGAGAGGAAGCGAAGGGGGGGGGGCCACAGACAAGGCTGACCCGGGGGAGGAGCCTCTGTCCAGGGACAGCCGGCCAGTGCCCATCATCTGCCTCCAATGGGAGAATAAGCCGCACAAGAACCTGGGCCAAAGCAGGGGCGTGGGGAGGCTCCTTTAACTATGAACCTGCTCTGCGGAGGTGGGGACCCACACAGCATCCTCCCCCCTCCCGCCCACCTGGGTCAGATGCTGTTCAGACGCAAAGCCCAAGCCATAGACGGTGTTGGCCCGGCTGTCCGCCCACTGGCCAAACTTCTGGGAGGTTTTGGTGAAGGTCATGTTGGGGGTGACGGTACTGTTGATGATGGCCTGGGCAGGGGTCAGGAGGTGAAGGTGACTGTGAGTCCCTGGATGACCAGGGCCAAGGGGACCGCCCTCCCTGGGTGTGCCCCCACCCCGGGCTGCACCTTGGCGCCCCCAATGCTGATGATGCGGTACACGTTACGGGTGGCATCGTAGAAATAGGAGACGGTGAGGGCGTGCTTGCCGGCAGGGACCCAGTTCCGCTTGGTGGTGGGGTCGATGTGGAACACGTGGGCCCGAGTGCTGAAGATGGGCTGCTCCCTGGTGGGGGGAAAGACGGACCCTCAGCAGGGCCTCTCGTGGCCAGGCCAGGGCTGGGGGGGGACAGGGGGCTCACCTGGCTGTGGACATTGGTCAGGCTGGGGTGGCCAGGCGGCCAGAGCAGCCGATTTGGTCCCTGGGGAAGAAAGAGGGGTCTGTGAGGGCCTTGGAGGCTCAGCTGCCCAGGGCCGCGGGCCGGGTGCACAGACCGGAGGAGGCGCCTAAAGCTGGGCAGGCCCCTGGCTGTCCTGGTTCTGGGGGCCCCCAGGGGCGCCAGGCTGTGCCCCCAGACTGGGTCACACGCGCCTTCATCCATCACTGCACTCAAACCACGGCAGGGCCAGGCAGAGGGTTCCAGACAGCCATGGCTGGGGTCCAGGGTTCGGGGCCAGCGGGGGCCGCATACTGGAGACCCTAGCTCTTCTCTAAAGCCTTGGGACCGACGACTGTCTCTTGGGAGACAAAGGTCCCCACTGTTCCCAGAGCCCCCGAAAAAGTTTCGGCAGAACAGGCAATTTTGGCTCCCACCATGGGAGGGGCTCCATACCGTCCACCCCTCCCTCCAGCCAGGCCCAGAATGTGGCCTGTGGGCCTGATCCCCCCCCTCCGTGTGCCCCCTCCCAGACTACATCCTGGGGGCCCCGGCCTGAGGAGGGAGGAACACAGTCTGGGAAGGGGGACCCCAGCCTGGGGAGGGAGGAACACACCCTGGGGAGGGGGACCCCGGCCTGGGGAGGGGGGAACACAGCCTGGGGAGGGGGGAACACAGCCTGGGGAGGGAGACCTCGGCCTGGGGAGGGGGGATCACAGCCTGGGGAGGGGGACCCCGGCCTGGGGAGGGGGGATCACAGCCTGGGGAGGGGGGATCACAGCCTGGGGAGGGGGGAACACAGCCTGGGGAGGGGGGGACCCCGGCCTGGGGAGGGGGGGAACACAGCCTGGGGAGGGGGGATCACAGCCTGGGGAGGGGGGGAACACAGCCTGGGGAGGGGGATCACAGCCTGGGGAGGGGGGACCCCGGCCTGGGGAGGGGGGAACACAGCCTGGGGAGGGGGGATCACAGCCTGGAGAGGGGGATCACAGCCTGGGGAGGGAGACCTCGGCCTGGGGAGGGGGGATCACAGCCTGGGGAGGGAGACCTCGGCCTGGGGAGGGGGGAACACAGCCTGGGGAGGGGGGGACCCCGGCCTGGGGAGGGGGGAACACAGCCTGGGGAGGGGGATCACAGCCTGGGGAGGGGGATCACAGCCTGGGGAGGGGGGAACACAGCCTGGGGAGGGGGGGACCCCGGCCTGGGGAGGGGGGAACACAGCCTGGGGAGGGGGGAACACAGCCTGGGGAGGGAGACCTCGGCCTGGGGAGGGGGGATCACAGCCTGGGGAGGGGGACCCCGGCCTGGGGAGGGGGGAACACAGCCTGGGGAGGGGGGGACCCCGGCCTGGGGAGGGGGGAACACAGCCTGGGGAGGGGGGGACCCCGGCCTGGGGAGGGGGACTCCATCCGGTCCTGGGCACAGGGTCTGGAGCCCGAGCCGGTTCGGATCGCGGGCCGGCGGGGCCGGGCGCGGGGTCCCCCAGTCCGGGCTCTTCCGGCCCGGCCCCGGCCTGCCGGGACTCGCGCGCGCGGCGGAGAAAGTTACTCACCGGCCGGTCACGCGCGCCGGCGCCCGGGGCTCCGGGGGGCCGAACCCCGGCCCGGCCCCCGAGGGCGGCCGGGGACCCCCGCGGGCCCGGGCCCCGCGCCGCGCCGGGCGCACCCCAACTTCGGAAGCGCCACCCCGAGTCCGCAGCGTCCCCCGCCTGCGGCCCGGGCGGAGACTCGGGGTGCCCTCGCCCCGCGGCCCCGGAACTCCGAGGTCCCCGCGCCGCCCCCCGCCCGGCCCCAACTTCCCGGCCCGCGCCGCTCGGCCGCCCCACAACTTCGGGGCCCTCGGCGGGTTCCTCGACGCCGGGGCGGCGACCCCCGGGGCCCCGCCCCCGGCCCGGGACCCCGCGACCCCCGAGCCGGGAACTTCAGAGCCGGCGCCGCCCCAGGCCGCGGGCGCGGAACTCGGGGTCCCCGCGCCCCGGCGGTCCCGGCTCACCGTCGGCGTCGCTGACTCCGCGCAGCCCGGGCCCCGCGCGCTCCGCCGTCGCCCGCCCGCGCCTTTGTCTGCGCCGCCGCCGCCGCCCGCGCCGCCTCCGGTCCCATCGCGGCCGGGCCCCGCGCGGCCGCCGCCCGCCCCGCCTCCCGGGGCCCCGAGGCCGCCCGAGCGCCCCCTGCCGGCCCGCGGCAGCCGGTGGGCGTGGCCGGCGCCCAGAGGGGGCGTGGCTAGAGCCGCCAGGGGCGGGCCCGGAGGAGATGGGCGTGGCGTGGCGTTTATGTGGGCGTGGCGGGTTTTGCTGGAATGTGGGCGTGGTCGGGGAAGTTGTGGGCGGGGCTTGTTCTGTGGGCGGGTCGTCCTGGTGAGGGGCGGGTCCGGATGGAGAGGGGGAAGGGGCTGTGCTGGAGGGAGGGGGCAGGGAGGAGGAGGGGGACCCCGAGGAGGAACCAGAGACCGGAGGCAGGAAGCGGATGGACGATCAGAGCTGGACGCCACTCTTCCTGTGGCCGCCAGGGTCAGCCCTGCCCGGCTGCCTGCGGCGGGGGGAGAGGGGTCCGGGCCCTGGCCGGACACAGCTGGGCGCTGCCCCACCTCAGCACGCCGGGGGCCCAGAGGCTGTGTGCCAGGGTTCCCATCGCCGGTGCTGTCCTCGCTGCCCCCCCCCCCCCCCCCGCCGCTGGCCCCCCCGAGGGTCAGGACCAGGTGTGGCTGCCCCCCCCATCTGGCACGCCCCGGCCTCACCCCCCCCACAGGGTGACCTTTCATCCCAGCTGGAGACACAGAGCCCGTGCCTCAGTTTCCCTGACTCTGCGAGTCATGTGCACCGCAGAGGGTCTGTCTGAGCTGGGCCCGAAGCCTTGCAAGGCGTTGGAAACACCGTCTGCTCTGTGCAGACTTCCCGATTCCCAACAAAACAAAAATAAATTTCAAACGGAGCGTGGCCGGGCTTCCGGAAGGCACTGGAGTGTGCCAAGCGACAGTTGGCTGCAGAACGGGGCCATGCGGCGATCCCCAGGGGGGCCGGGCAATGGGCCCGGGCAGTGGGCCTCTGAGGAGGAGGAAGACGCCAGGGAGGGCACCAGTGGGTGCTCTGAGCCCCGCAGGGAGGGGCCGGGGCTGGACAGCCTGGAGCACACCGGACCCAACGGGGCATGCCCCAGCGCAAACAGCTGGCGTGTTCACAGCCTGACCTGGTTACGGTTCTGCTCTAAGCCGGCTTGCCCTGGAACACGCCGGGCCTGCAGGCCGACCTCCGCCTGTGCTTCCCGAAGGAACGCAGTGCCCAGCTGCAGCTCAGTCTTGGCTGGACCCTTAGGTCTCCCTAGGCAGTGCACCCTGGAAGAACTCGCTTTTGCTCACCATGCCTCAGTTTACTTATTCATAACCTGTGTGTGCAAACAATGCCACTTCTCAGATTTATGGTAAGTAGCCACTGGTTACTATACGAAACAGACTATGTCTCTAGGTGTCTTATAAATGCATGTATTGTACATGTGTCGTCGGTGGCCGGGGTGGTGGTACAGGCCTGGAACCTCAGCACTCGGAGGCAGAGGCAGAAGATCTCACATCCAATCTTCTCCTTCACCTGGCCATAGTCAGGCCAGCCTTCCTATGCAGCCCTCAAAACCCCACCTGTAAACTAGGCCTTGGTGGGTCATACCTCGAATCCTAGCTACCCAGGAGGCTGAGATGTGAGGATCGCAGTTCAAAGCCAGAAAAAAAAAGTCCGTGAGACTCATATCTCCAATGAACCTCCAAAAAGCTGGAGGTGTCCAGGTCGGGGACAGCACCCAGGCCCCAAGTTCAAGTCTCAGGACCATCACAGGGACAAAAACTAGACAAATCCCACCTCCAGTGCCCTCCTCTTCCTCCCTGACCCCCTTCCCCTTCCAGCTTACCCCAGAGACTGGGAGTTGGGGTGTCAGCGTGTAGTCCTCTGGCCTTGGGACTCAGGGTGGACTTGCAGGCCACCCGAGCCCTGCCCAGGTCAGCCCTGCCAGGGAGCAACACCGCAGGAAGAGCCAGGCACCCGCAGGCCCCAGTGACAAGGGGTCGGGGCCCACAGACTGAGGGCCCCGGACAGGGAGAGTGGACCGGGGCGGGGGGGGGGGGCAGACCTAGGTCCTGGCGCTGGCTCCCGCAGCCCTAATTACCCTCATTTGCCGGCTCGCTAATTAATTACCCCCGGCCGAGTGGCACAAGCTGCGTGTTCAGGAGTAGGTCACCTGTTATTTTTGGCTCCCGTATCCTTGAGGCTTCGGCTCGTACACCAGCGAAGGGCAGGAAATGGGGCACCGGCTGCTGCTGCCTTGGGAGGAGGGGGTGTGGGGTCCTGGGGGGGGGGTCTCTGGCCCCCAACCAGTGGCTGCGAGGTCAGGAGGGGCAGTAGGGGCAGGCTCCACGGAGCACTGCTGGCGGCTGACCTTAAACCCGGCACCATGGGTGGGAGCCTGTGGGGTCCCTGCGGGGGTGCCCAGATGGGTTTGGGTTTGAACCCAGCTTGCCGTGTCTTCTGGACCTGGGGCCTTTGATGACCTCGTTGCCCCTCTACTGCAGGGCCAAACCGGTGTGCTGATGTTCAGAGATTGCGCTGGTGCTGCAGGTGCAAGTCAGGATAGCTGGCCCTACCTCCGGGAAGCTGGGCGGGCCCCAGTACATAAATGGGAGCAGGAAGAGGGTGCGAGAGCTGAATGGGGTCTTGTGGGGTGAGGTGCGTGGGGTTTTGGTTAGGTTCTTTTGTGCCAATACTGGGGCTAAAGCTCCAGCCCCCTCTCTGGGATGTGGTATTTCCATTCAAGGCTGGTGCTCTACCCCTTGAGCCACAGCACCGCGTCAAGCTTTCTGGTGGTTCATTGGAGATCCGCGTCTCAGACTTCGCTGCTCAGGCTGGTTTGGACCCTCGAGGTCCTCAGACCTCAGCCTCCACCTCAGCAGCGAGGATGACGGGCGGGGCCCTGGCCCCCAGGTTTTGGGGTGGGGGAGGGGCGTGGTCAGATGGAGACGCAGGCCCGGGTGGGGTGTGCATGTGTGCACACGTGCGCGTGTGCGCCTGCAGGGCTGGCTTTTCTCTGCGTCTCAGTTTCCCGGCCCCAAAGCTGCCTGATGGCGGCGGGGCTGCCGGTGCCCCTCCTGCGGCCGTGCGGCTCCCACGCTCCGTCTGCAGCCTGCAAGGGAACAGTTGTGCCCACAGGCCGGCGCCCGCAGGGCCGGGCCGGTTCCCGCGGGTGACCGCCCACGGGCCGCGGGGCTCTGGTGTTCCCGAGGCAGCCGGTGACTCAGCCACAGCCTCCCTGCTCCGTCTGCCGGCCCCTCTGCATCCGCCGCCCTGGCCCCGACCCCCACGCGGGCCGTCCACCCGCCGCAGCCTTCCCAGCTCACCCCAGCCAGAGGCACACGCACCTCCTCTAAGCTCCAGTTTGTTTTTATTTTGGTCGGTCGTGGGGCTTGAACTCTGGGCCTGGGCGCTGTCCCTCATTTCTTCAGCGCAAGGCAAGCGCTCTACTGCTTGAGCCACGGCACCACTTCCAGTTTTCTGGTGGTTTATTGGACATCAGTCTCATGGACTTTCCTGGCCGGGCTGGCTTTGAACTGCCATCCTCAGATCTCAGCCTCTGAGTAGGATGACAAGCGTGAGCCACTGGTGCCCCACCTGAGTTTTGTTTTGTGTGTGTGCTGGTACTTAAACCTGAATTCATGGCCTGGGTGCTGTCTCTGAGCTTTGCCACTCAAGGCTGGTGCTCTACCACTTGGGCCACAGCTCCCCTTCTGACTTTTTGCTGGCTGTGTACTATTCCTGCCCAAGCTGGCGTTGATCCTCAGATCTCTGTCTCCTGGCGGCTGGGATGACAGGCGTGAGCCACAGGGCAAGGAATCTTTAACCCTTGCAGGCCCCAAGGCCCAGCCGTGGGCGTGGCCAGGACCAGGGCAGCTGGGGACGGCTGGCAGGAAGGAAGCCTCTGGGAGCTGGCCTTTGTCTCCCCCCAGCAGCTCCCTCAATTTGCTGACAAGGCAAAGCTGCTCAGGCCCAGCCCTGGGGAGACTTGGAGAAGGTTCCAGATTGAATCAGCCATGGGTGTGGGCAGGAATCCCTGCCCCTGGGCTGTGTGAACTGGACCGGGCTTGTAACAACTCCTGTAACTACTCCCTCTTCCGAAAACCCAGGCAGCAGGTGCCAGCGGCGCACGCCAGTCATCCCAGCTGCTCAGGAGGCTGAGGCCTGAGGACCGCGGTTTGAACCACGCCGGCCCGGACAGGGTAGTCCATGACACTCTTATCTGCAAAGAAATCGGCAGAAAGCCAGAAGTACAGCTGTGGCTCAAGTGATAGAGCGCCAGCCTTGAGTCAAAAAGCGTAGGGTCAGCTCCCAGGGCCTGAGTTCAAGTCCCAGGACTGGCACAAAAACCAAACAAATCTGAGTGCGGTGGTGAGGACGGGGTTTCCTGGGCCGGGCAGGTCCGCTGGGCCTTGCGGGCCAAGGCCATTCTGTTGGTTTTGGACACTGGATAGCCAGATATGCCAGGAAGCTGTGTGTCAGAAGGCCCGGCCACCCTCACGGCCCTGGCTGCTCTCGCCCGCTCCGGACAATGGAGGCCGCTCATCCAGGAAGAGATGGTCCTGGTTCAAATCAGAGGCCTCCTTGCCAGGACAGATGCCTCTAGAGCCGGGCAGCTGCGGCCACGTTTGCATTGCTCATTTCAGTGGTGCTCAGCCGCTTCCTGGCCTGCAGCCTGGGCGGACCGGGAGAGCCCTGCCCAGCCCCCCCTCTGCCCCCGGCTTCCCTGCGGGGCAGCAGAGGCTCCCTGCGCCCCCAGCACAGGGACCCGAGCCATTTTATCTTGGAGATTGTTTGAGATTGGGCGCTGCTCAGCCTGTACTGGCCTTGAACTGCCGTCCTCCTGCTCCAGCCTTGCGAGCGCTGTTTTTGTTTTTTTTTTTTGTGAGACTTGAACTCTGGGCCAGGGCGCTGTCCCTGCGCTCTTCAGCTCAAGGCAAGCACTCTACTGCTTGAGCCACGCATCACTTCCAGTTTTCTGGTGGTTTATTGGAGATGAGTTTCACGAACTTTCCTGCTCAGGCTGGCTTTGAACCGTGATCCTCAGATCTCAGCCTCCTGAGTAGCTAGGATGACAGGCGTGCGCCACCGGTGCCCAGCTGCGGGCGCTGGTTTAAGAGCATAGTCTCCACGTGGTCTTTGCACTTTTACGTTTCCCTTCCTCTCCTCCATTCTCCCTTTCTCCATGGCCTGGGGGGCTGGGGAGGGAACCCAGCAGGGCGTCCTTCACCCCATCTGCCTGGGGGAAGGGAGGGGTTCATCCCCAGGATGCAAGCAGGCTCAGACACCCCAGGACAAGAGCTGCAGGCCTGGGTGGGATCTGGGGGAGAATATGGGGTATAAAACATGCTCACCTCCCCTGAGAAAACAATGCTCCTCGACACCTGGGAGAGAAGGAAGCCTCAGGCAGGTGTGGAGCAAAGCACCGCAATGCGGTGGCCTGGCTGCACAAACAGGCTGGCAGCGGCTCAAAACGTTAAATAGGCCAGGTGCTGTGGCTCACGCCTGTCACCCCAGCTACTCAGGAGGCTGAGATCAAAGCCAACCTGGGCAGGAAAGTCTGGGAGACTTATTGCCAGTTAGTCACCAAAAAGCTGGAAGTAGAACCGTGGCTCAAGTGATAGAGTGCCAATCCTGAGTGAAAAAGCTGAGATGAGTTCAAGTCCTGGGAGCCACACAACACACACCAGTATAGGTGAGTGGTCCTGGGCCATGGTTTCCTGTCGGCCCCACAGCAGAGGTGGCTGGAGGTCAACACAGTGCCGTGGGCTGGAGCAGCGCTGCCCACCCCAGCTGGGGACACAGCCCCACCCAAGGCCCCTTTGAGCTTCCTCTGGTGGCCCTGGGACGGGCTGGGGTGAGGCTTGGGGGTGTGGCTGGAGCCATGCTTCTCTGGAACCCTCCCTGCCCTGGGCCCATGCCCCACCCCCCCCCCCCCCCAAGTAGCTGGTGCTGAGGGCTGCGGGCAGCCGCGTGCGCAGAGCTCTGCCTGCTTCTCCCGGCTGTGGCCAGGGCAGCCGTGGGCTCGGGCCGGAGGCGCCCGGGGCGGAAAGGGCACAGGTAGAGCTATTTCTAGGCTCTGCCAGAGCGGCTCCTGGGTGGGCCAGGTCCCCATGGCAGCGCCGTGGTGTGGACCAGGCTGCCGGCGGGCCCAGGGGCCCAGGGGTGCTCCGGGAGGCGGGGCGCAGAGGCCGCGGCAGGGGAGGGGGGCATGGGCCGCGCCACCCCCAGGCTGCACAGGTATCTGGCGTGTGAACGCCCCGCCACGAGTGCCCGGGGTCAGGGGAGGCTTGGTGGGTGTCCTTGGGGTCCTGTGCACATCGCGCTACTCTGAGTGGCCGTCCGGGCAGTGTCCAGCGCTGGCCACTCGCTGGCTGCTGTGCTCAGGTCGCCACCAGAGCGCGCAGTGGGAGGAGCTGCTGGCCTGCTTGGTCCTTAATGGCCAGTGTCTCCCCAAACATGCCCCCCCCTCCCGCAGGCCCCAAGAGCACAGCGCAGCCAGCAGAGCAGCGGGGTTTCCTCTATGTTTATTGCAACTAACGACCAACAGTACCCGCTACGCTTACACGCGGCAGCATGGAGCCCGGCGGCAGCGGCAGCAGCGGCGGTCTTCGGGCCTCCGTGGCCAGGCGCCAGCGCGGGTCCACGCGGCGCCGCAGTCCTCAGCCCTGCAAGAGACAAGGCATGCTGTGCCCGCCGCCCACGGCCCGCGGGCCACACCCACACCGCCCTGCCACGCGTCACCACCCTGCCACTGCCCACGCCACACTCGCTGCCCGTGACACTGCCCACGCCACACTAGCCGCCCGTGACACTGCCCACGCCACACTCGCTGCCCGTGGCACTGCCCACGCCACACTGGCTGCCCATGACACACTGTCCACACCACACTCACTGCCCGTGACACACTGCCCACGCCACACTCGCTGCCCATGACACTGCCCACGCCACACTCGCTGCCCGGGACACTGCCCACGCCACACTCGCTGCCCGTGACACTGCCCACGCCACACTAGCCGCCCGTGACACTGCCCACGCCACACTCGCCGCCCGTGACACTGCCCACGCCACACTGGCCGCCCGTGACACTGCCCACGCCACACTGGCCGCCCGTGACACTGCCCACGCCACACTGGCTGCCCGTGACACTGCCCACGCCACACTGGCTGCCCGTGACACTGCCCACGCCACACTGGCTGCCCGTGACACTGCCCACGCCACACTGGCTGCCCGTGACACTGCCCACGCCACACTGGCTGCCCGTGACACTGCCCACACCACACTGGCTGCCCGTGACACTGCCAACACCACACTGGCTGCCCGTGACACTGCCCACACCACACTCACTGCCCATGACACACTGTCCACACCACACTCATCACCTGTGCCACGCCACCCACGCCACAAACACTGCCCTTCCACGTTCTGGGCAGCTGCTGAGGATGAGGAGGGCTGCAGGGCCCAGCCACACCTGGGCGATGAGCCAGCTGCCCCGGACATGCAGCCCCCATGTGCACAGCACCGGGTCCCGATCCCTAGCACGCGCACGTGGACGCAGGTGGGGGGGCGCCACAGAGAGGCTGCGCTTAGTAAAGGACAAGCACAGGCCCGTGGAGAAGGAAGGGAAAGGGTGGCTCCGCTGCTCTGGCAGTGGGTGGGGGTAGGGGTCTGAGGACCCCACGCAACCCACGCCACTCGGGACAGTTGCCGTCAGGAAGAAGGCCAAGCCCTGTGCGGTGCCCACCTTACTGCGTCCCTACAGACCCGCTCCTGTTCCGCTGAGGTCCCTGCGGGCGGACCCCGGCCTGCACCCTGCTATCTGCGCGGCCTCAGCCGGTGCAGGCAGGGCAGGGCAGGGCAGGGCCGGATGCCAGCCCCAGCCCCAGCCCCAGCGGGGACCCCCGCACACGGCTCTGCCCCCGCTCCTCGGGTGCCCCCAGGCCCAGTGGAAGGCCACTTTCTCACCACCCCTGAAACCCCTCAAGCTCGGGGCGTGTTTAGAGGAGAACCGCTGAGAACACTGAAAGCAGCCGGAGCCCGAGGCGGCCATGGCCGAGGCTGGCATCGGCAGAGAGTTAGAGGTGCAGAGAGAAAGGAGCGCGCGTGCGCATGTGCGGGCCTGGGCCGGCCGGGGTTCCGTACACACCACGCGGGAGGCGGCGGGCGGCCTGGGCTCCGCAGGTCCGGGCGGGGCGGCGGGGAGGGCGGTGGCTCTGCAGCTGGGCTGTCACCAGCGGCTCCCATCTATCGGGGAGAGAACAGGGCACAGCGCCCGGCCGGGCGGGGTGGACAGCAGCCAGCACGGCCACCCCGCTGCCCCTTGCAGGGCCTGCCTAGAGAGGCCGGGAGCCGAGGGGCAGGGGATGCCCAGCCAGGACACATGGGTGGAGGAGAGGTTGCAGGGAGGGAGGGGAGGATGCAGGGAGGGAGGAGAGGTTGCAGGGAGGGAGGGGAGGATGCAGGGGGGGAGGGGAGGACGCAGGGGGGGAGGAGAGGCTGCAGGTGGGCAGGGAAGGCTGCAGGGGGGATGCACGTGGACAGGGAAGGCTGCAGGGGGGAAGGGAAGGCTGCAGGTGGGGAGGGGAGGCTGCAGGGGGGAGGGGAGGCTGCAGGGGGGAGGGGAGGCTGCAGGGGGGAGGGGAGGCTGCAGGGGGGAGGGGAGGCTGCAGGGGGGAGGGGAGGATGCAGGTAGGGGAGGGAGGTGCAAGTGGAGAACGGGGCGGGCTCCCTTGCCCCTTCTGACAGGGAAGAGGCTGCCGCGGGGTCTGTATTCAAAGGCCCATCTTCCTATGTGTTTCCCTCACACAATCTTCTTTTTTTTTGGTCGGTGGTGGGCCTTGAACTCTGGGCCTGGGCGCTGTCCCTCAGCTCTTCAGCTCAAGGCTGGTGTTTTACCACTTGAACCACAGCGCCGCTTCCAGTTTTCTGGTGGTTCACTGGAGATAAGAGTCTGACGGACTTTCCTGCCTGGGCTGGCTTTGAACCATGATCCTCAGATCTCAGCCTCCTGAGCAGCTAGGATGACACACAATCTTCTTTTGTGACTTTTCCCCCTGGTCCTGGGGTTTGAACTGCAAACCTCACACTTGGTACACAGACACTCCACCGCTTGAGTGATGCTCCAGCCCCTTTTGCTTCATTTTTAGGTCCTGGTTATGCCTCCCACAGGCAGAGCTGGGATGCCAGGCGTACCTCACAGTGCGTTGACACAGATCTTGTTCACTTTTTGTCCGTGCTGACCTCAAACCACAATCCTTTGTGTCCCCTGTAGTTGGGTTACAGGTGTGCACTACTGCACCAGCTCTGGCAACTGATGATGTTGCTTTTGGAAAAGCGGGACCATGGTTTTGGGGGGCAGGATGTCATGTGACCGGCCCCCCCACATACCTGCCTACTTGTTAGCCCGTTTGTGCCGGTACATCTGCATCATCCTCTGCCGAAAGACATCAAACGTGTCCTCCGTCCGCTCAGGCCCGTCGGCGCCCAGGCCCTCCCCTTCTGAGCGCGTCCCCCTGTGGAGTGTAAGGATCGGTGAGTGGGGCCCAAGTCCCCCGGGAGGGGCCCACAAGCACAGACACAGACATCATCCTGACCTCCCGCCTCAGCCTCCCGGATGCTGAGGTGACCAGTGCGGCCCCCGTGCCCTCTGGGGTCAGCTCCCACCCTCCCCCAGGAGCAGGGTCGGGCCGTGGTGACCGGGTCATACACGCTGACGGGCTCGCGGATGCCTGTCCCGCAGGAGCCCAGGCCATGGCCCTCTTTCCAGCCCATCTTCTGCAGCATCTGGAAGCCCAGGTTCTGGCCGGTGAGCTTCTGCTGCGGGAAGTCCAAGTCTGTGGGTTTCTGGGGAGACAGGAGGGGCCGAACTGAGTGCCTGTGGCTGCTGCCCTACTTCCTTCCAACTCCCAGCCCTTTTCAGCTTCAGACAACATGCTAGCCCAGAACTCAGGGCCCGAGACGGGCTGAGGCACCCCTCGCCCGCTCGCCTGCCCCGCCCACCTCCTGGCAGCAGCCTGAAAGGTGCCAATAGCCCAGCATGGCTGTGTCCTGAGAAAGACTGGCTGGGACCCAGGAGAGGCAGTCCTCCCCCAGGCCCTGCCACGGGACGGCCGCTCACCTTCTTCTTGGCTATGGGCCGACCCCGAGGCCTGTCATAGGCAATCCGGACCGGCTCGTGGACTGCAAGAGAGGACGACACTGTCCACGCACCGCCCAGCCCGCTCACCGGAGACGGGTGAGGCTGACAGCCTGTGTGCGCATGCGTGCATGTGCACACGGTCACAGCGGCCCTGGCCTCGAGGAGCCGCAGTGACGCAGCGAAGTAAAACCGCTGGGCCTCGCTAGCCTAGGCACGCGCCAGCACTGCAGACCAAGCCAAGCAGGACCGGGGGAGGCAGGACAGGGGCGGGGGCCAGGCAGGACAGGGGCCGGGCAGGATGGGACGCAGCCTGGGGTGGGGCCCACCTTGTCACAGCCCTGGCCGGTGACCCCAGGCTCACCTTCCGGTTCCGGCACAAGGCAGGCCCTCTTGGGCGCAGGAATCATTCCGACCTTCAGAGACTTGCTGCTCATCCTCTTGCGGGGCAGGCAGGTGCCAGGTGCAGCCTGTGCCAGGCCCGGCCCGGCCGGCTCCTCCTCAGCCGCCTCTGCAGGGAGGCCGTCAGCCGCAAGGCTGCCCTCCGAGCCCTCGGGCTTGCCGGCTCCTGCTCCGTGCCCGGAGGCGCCATGGGTTGGAGCCTCCTCTCCCCCTTCCTCCTCTTCCTCCTCAGGGTCTTCGTCCTCCAACCCACCCCGGGCCGCAGTGGGGTCTGCGGGGCCCGTGCTGGCGGGAGGCGGGAGGCGGGGTGGGGGGAAGGAAATGGACGGGCACAGCTCAAACACTTTCTTCCGGTAAAATCTGAAGGCGGGGCTGCTTTGGTCATGGAGAAACCTGGAAGGCGGAGGAACGCTCCAGTTGAAGGAGGGAGCAGGGGGCTCGTAGCCTCTCTGGCGAGCAGGGGTCCCCAGGCAGGCCTCTCCCACATGGCTATCTGGGCAGCCTGGCTGTTCCGGGAGGACGCATGTGCAGACCCGGCAGGAGACCCACGGCTGTGGGCGTGCCTGCCCCACGGGGTGCCTGCCCCGCCCTCCGTGCAGTCCATGCTCGGTCACCCCGAGCCCGAGCAGTGGGGCTTTGGCCCACAGGCATGCGGGCCGCGCTGGCCCCTCCGAGCACACCCCGGGCCGGCGCGGCGGGCGTCGCAGCGGGGCAGGGTGATGGACCCAGGGCACGCACCAGAGGTCGGGGTTGTCGGTGCTGTTTTCTATGCTGAACTGCTCGATCTCGGGTCCCACCTGAGCCACAAACTTGGCCAGCTTCTCTGCGGTCTCCATGGTCTTTGTGTCCACTGCAAAACAGAGCGTGTCACCACAGTGGGGGTTTCCACAGGTCGCCCCACGGCCTCCCGGGGCCACAGGCTCTTCACTACGTGTGCCTGCACTGGTCCTGGGGCTTGAACTCAGGGCCTGGGTGCTATCCCTATGCTTTTTTGCTCAAGGCTGATGCTCTACCACTTGAGCCACAGCTCCACTTCAGGCTTTTTTGGTGGTTAACTGGAGATAAGAGTCTCAGATTTTCTTGCCCAGGCTGCCCTTGAATGCGATCCTCAGATCTCAGCCTCAGGAGCTCGGATTACAAGTGTAGCACTGGTACCAGACCAGCTCTTTAGTATTTGGCCACGTAGGGCTGGTGAGTCTGTCAGGGACACACCCCCAGGCTGGCGGTGAGTGACAGGCACGGAGAAGACGAGCCCGTGCTGTTGGGACCTGCGGGTGGGCAGGCTCCTGCGCATCCAAGCGTGTGCGGGGCTGTGGTGTGGGGGAGCGGGCCAGGGGCAAAGCCTGGGCCCGCAGAGGCAGTGTCACTGCGAGAGGGTCAGTCCACATGTGGCAGCGGAGGGGCATCTAGGCCATGAGGCGAAGCAGAGGCTGTGAGTCGGGGCGGGAGCTGCCTTCTGCCTGCAGGGTCTGTGCACCCAGGCTCCATGGAGCAGGAAGGCGCGACACTGGGCCAGGTGTGCCACCGAGTTGGGGCCTGCTTAGCACCTCGAGATCCTCAGCTCATCCCTAGCACTACGAGAGACAAATGAAACCCAACAAAAATACTTGTAAAACAACAGCTGCATCTGTGCTCCACAGGTAGAGACTGTGTGTCCAAATCCCGTGAGCAGATGGTGTAAGACCCTCACACGGGCCGTTGTGGGCCTGGGATTCTGTACAGCGGAATCGCTGGAGTGGCACCCCCGCCCTCTCAGCGCCTGGGCCAGGCCCTCCTGCCAGCCACCGTCAGGCCAGGACCTCAAGGAGAAGGGCAAGGTGGAGGAGGGGAGGGAAAGGCCCACACGTCCTGCCTAGACGGTCCCTGGAGCGGGGCTCGTGGCCTGCGCAGCCTGCTGACTGCCCCCCGTGCCAGCTGTGGAGGTGGTAGGTGAGGTGGGGTCAGCACCCACCCTTGGCAGCTGGGCAGGGAGAGGTCCGAGGGGTGCCCAGGATGTCCGTGCCTGCTGGGCCTGCGTCTTCAGGGCTGCATGCTGCAGGCGGAGACCCGGTTGGACCTGGCAGGTCGTCCTTGGTGGCATCTCTTCCTCCTGGCAGGGGTGACTTGGTCTGTGAGGAGCCTACAGCCCGCCGGCTGAGAGGTTTTGGCCGGGCACCGGGGGACCGGCGCATCTGCGTGCCGGCGGTGGCTCGCCCAGCCCACCAGCCCCGGTGGCCCTGGGCCCGCAGGGGCCGCCGCCGGCGGACCGGGAGCAGCTTCTTCTTGAGGCTGTGAACAACGCGCGCATACAGCATGGCCCGCACGGCGCACTCGGCTGGGGTGGGCGGCTGCTGGGAGCTAGGCCCCCCCCGGATCCTCGGCCTGGCCTCTGCCAACTTCAGCTCGTAGTATTTGTACTCCAGGCTGCCCTCGTCAGCCAGAAACCTGCGGGGACACGCAGAGTACCGCGTGAGGACCCAGCCACGACCTCCTCCGACCTGCCAGCCTGCAGTAGTACAGAAGCCAAGGGAGCACCAGTCCAGTGCCACCTGCAGCTGCCAGGAAGAGACTCCTTAAAGTGGCAGAGGTGGGTGAGTGCTGTGAGCACTCAGCTATGGCATCTGTGACCTGCGAGGGACGGGAGCTGTGTCCGGCAGGCCACAGGGACAGGCCGGCACCGTGCCACTGAGATGGCAGGCCACCAGTAGCAAGCCATGCCAGCCACACTGGAACTACCGCGGTGCACAGCCACGCACGCTGGCTGGCTTCACAAGGACTGAAGACGAGGACACTTAGCGGTGGCTCTGGGCAATGGGGGCAGGGGACGGGCCTGTTAGTCCATGCCCATGACCCTCAGGACCCACAGGAATTGGTTCCGGAACTCAGGTGAGCACCAAGCCTCAGGATGCTCAAGGCATTTGTAAAGGGCTGAGAATTACATGGAACCTAAGTAGGTCACCTCTAGAAGCAGAGTACACAGTGCAGCTGCAATGTGTCCCAAGCCTCCCGTGAACACCCTGCAGTCTGCGGCCCCGTCCAGACCCACGCGGGCTCCATGCCTCAGCACAGGTAAGCTGACAGCTCAGACCCGTGCGGGAGGAAGCAGCTGCCGCCAGCCCCTAACGCCCAGCCTCGCTGTGGGTCTGGCCTGCAGGCGGCCAAGTCCTCCCGCACAAAGCCCACTGCAGAACAAACCGCTGGATCTCACAGAACCTACCCAACACCGGCGGAAGGGTGCAAGGATCACAATCCAAAATCTAAACCAGCCTGGGCTTGAGCCCATCAACACACACACACACAATCCGGGCCACAGTGGCTGGGGTTCCTTCCCTGAGCCTGCACAGTGCGAGCACACAGCTCTGAGTGCTTGGGTTGAGGCGGCAGGCCCGCACAGTGCACCATGAGCTTGGGAAGGGCACAGGAGCCATCTGAGGATCGCGGTTCAAAGCCAACCCTGTTGGGAAAGTCTGTGAGACTTTTTTTTTTTGGGGGGTCTGGTCGTGGGGCCTGAACTCTGGGCCTGGGTGCTGTCCCTCAGCTCTTCAGCTCAAGGCTAGCGCTCTACCACTTGAGCCACAGTGCCACTTCCGGCTTTTTTCTTTTTGCTTATGTGGTGCTAAGGAATCGAACCCAGGGCCTCAGGCATGCAAGGCAAGCGCTCTACCACTGAGCCACCTTCCCAGCCCCAGTCTGTGAGACTCTTATCTCCATCAAGCCACCAGAAAACCAGAAGTGGCACTGTGGCTCAGGTGGTAGAGCGCTCGCCTTGAGCAAAAGAAACTCAGGGGATGGGGCTGGGAAGGTGGCTCAGTGGAAGAGCACTTGCCTTGCATGCCTGAGGCCCTGGGTTCGATTCCTCAGCACCACATAAAGCAAAAAGAAAAAAGCAGGAAGTGGCGCTGTGGCTCAAGTGGTAGAGCACTCACCTAGAGCTGAAGAGCTGAGGGACAGCATCTAGGCCCAGAGTTCAGGCCCCACGGCCGGACCCCAAAAAAAAAAAAAAAAAGAAACTCAGGGACAGTGCCCAGGCCCACAGTTCAAGCCCCATGACAGACAAGCCCTGGGTTCGATTCCTCAGCACCACATGAGAAAAAAGCCGAAAGTGGCGCTGTAGCTCAAGTGGTAGAGCGCTAGCCTTGAGCTGAAGAGCTGAGGGACAGTGCTCAGGCCCAGAGTTCAGGCCTCATGACCGGACCCCCCCCCCCCCCAAAAAAAAAAAAAAAAAAAAAAAAAAAAAAAAAAAAAAGGTCTCACAGACTTTCCTGCCCAGGCTGGCTTTGAATGGCGATCCTCAGATCTCAGCCTCCTAAGTAGCTAGGATGACAGGTGTGAGCCACCGGCACCCAGCTATAATTTACCTTTAAGCAGGGTCTTGGGTGTACAACCCAAGCTGGCCAGTATCCCAAAGTCCTCTGGCATCACCTTCCAGCTATGGCCCCTGAGCCCTGGCCACGATTTGAAGGGGAACTGCAGCAGTGCAAGAGGTGCATACCAGCCTCCTCAAGGAAGCCACACCCTTGTCATGTAAGTGGTGGTGCCAAGATATTGTGCTGAAGCCGGGTGCTGGTGGCTCACGCCTGTCATCCTAGCTACTCAGGAGGCTGAGATCTGAGGATCGCGGTTCAAAGCCAGTCCGTGAGACTCCTATCTCCAATAAACCACCAGAAAATTGGAAGTGGCGCTGTAGCTCAAGTGGTAGAGCGCTCGCCTTGAGCTGAAGAGCTGAGGGACAGCGCCCAGGCCCAGAGTTCAAGCCCCACGACCGACCAAAAAAAAAAAAAAAAAAAAAGATATTGTGCTGAGCTGGGTGTGGGGGCTGTGACCAGGGCCTCAGGAGGCGGAGGCAGAGGATGAGGAGGTCAGGACCAGCCTGGGCCACAGAGCGAGCTCCAGGCCAGCCTAACAACGTGATGAGACCACAACGCCAGAACACCAGAAAATCAGGACCATCAAGGAAAGGGAGGAGAGGAACGACTCTAATGTCTGGGATACAACTACCTGCAGCAGGGCCCACGTGGTCGGCCCAGGGCCCCTTAGCGCCCACCCTTACCCTCTGCTCTCAGCACCAACAAACCAGCCTTCTCAGCCAGCCCTGGGAGAAGGCTGCTGTGCAGCCACGCTGGGGGCGGTGAGCACATGCCTGGCACACGCTCCTGTAGAGAGGGGCCCCTGAGCCACTCAGTCTTGCAAAACATGGTGTAAAAACGAAATCCCTACCAGTATGCCGGGTCCTGCTTGAGAGCGGCTCTCTCCTTGGGGGACAGGCTGCCGTCCAGGACACGCGTGACCAGCTGCTCAATGGTGGACACCACCGTGTGATCCGCGCGTGGGGGCACCGCTGCAACACAGAGAACAGCGCTAGCACAGGGCGCAGAGCACTTCTCGACAAGACGCAGTGAGGTGGCTGGGAGTGGAAGTGGCCACTCACAGGACAGCACAGAGCAGCCGTGTTTATGTGCTGGGAGAGGAGGAGGACAGACCTGGAGCGCATGCCTACCTACACAGAGCTGGTGGGGGCGGCAGCCCCGCCTGGGACACAGGGAAACGCTGAACCCGCACAAGACAAACAGCTACCAAACCCAGCTTTGATGCTCAAATGAAGCTGCGTGAATATGGCTAAGGAGAGCATGACCAGCAGGAAGCACACAGGACACAGGCAGCAGGTGTGCCGAAGGTTTCATTCCTTTGTCAGCTTAGAAAAAGTAAGCAAATGTGGTCTTTTTTATCAGAAAAAAGGTACATAAATGTTCTCCACTTTTTTTCTCTTTTTGGTCAGTCGTGGGGCTCAAACTCTGGGCCTGGGCGCTGTCCCTCAGCTCTTCAGCTCAAGGCGAGTGCTCCACCACTTGAGCCACAGCGTCACTTTCAGTTTTCTGGTGGTTTATTCCCAGGCTGGCTTTGAACTGTGATCCTCAGATCTCAACCTCCTCAGTAGCTAGGATTACAGGTGTCAGCCACCGGTGCCCGGCATATTCTCCACTTAATAAAGGCCAATACCTTCAAGTTCACAGAATATTTGCCAAAAGTCTGACTTTTTTTGGGGGGGAGGGGGGAAGGAGTAATACCAGAGTTTGAACTCAGGGCTCCATGTTTGTTGGTACTCTACCACTTGGGTACACCTCCAGTTGAAAACACAATTTTTTGGGGGGAAAAGGGGGTCAGTTGTAGGGCTTGAATTCAGACCCTGGACACTGTCCCTGAGCTGTTACACTCAAGGCTAGTGCCTTACCACTTTGAGTCACAGCTCTACTTCCAGTTTTCTGGTGGCTAATTGGAGATGAGTCTCAGGGACTTTCCTGCCCAGGCTGGCTTCAGAGATCTCAGATGTCAGCTTCCTGAGTAGCTAGGATTATAGGTGTGTGCCACTGGCACCTGGCTTCCAGCCCCAGGACTGCTCTGTTTCAGTGGAGCCAGTGGTGTGGAAGAGCACGCTCCTGGGCTCCTGTGGGCCAGCGTTTGTGGGTTTTGACAGCACAGTGGTGTCTCTCTGTCCTGTCAAAACCAGCCTTGAAGTTGAGAGATTTCCCAGACTCTCTGTGTGTCTGTGGGCCACAACTTCTTTGTGCAGTGCAGGATGGAACAGGACCTGATGCGCAGGAGGTACATGCACCTAGTGTGTAGCACCAGGACGACCCCCACCCCCACCAGCGTGGGCATTTCTCACTGCTGCCCAGGCTGCCCTGGCATCCTGCCTTCTGTCCCAGCTCCCACGCAGCTCTGGGCAGACACTGCCAGCACGCTGCTGTGCGCACGCACACCGGATCGACCTGCATTGGGGCAACGGTCACCTCACGGCAGAGGCACCTCCCGAAAGTGCGCCTCTTCTCCTTATTGCTCCCACTACACAGAGCTGCTTGCTTTGCCTGGCTTCCCCCCAAGAGTATCAAGTTCACAGTGGCAAGCTGTGAAGGACAAGGGAGTCTGGAGACTGGCACAAAGTCAGCCTTATCCAACAAGTGTGACCAAGGGCCAGAGACAGCTTCCTATCAGGTTCCCAAAACTGAGTAAAGACTTCTGGAGTAGATAGATTGCTCACACCATGACAGTGTATTTCTGGGGCAGGGCTCAGTGGTGGAGTGCACTTCTAGCATGCACAAGGCCCTGGTTTCCATCCCATACGCAGCCAAAGAAAAGACAAAAACAAACACCTAAGGGGAACCCGTGAAAACCTCCCACAAGAAGATGGGCACCAGTGGCTCACGCCTGTCATCCTAGCTACTCAGGAGGCTGAGTTCTGAGGATTGCAATCCAAAGCCAGCCTGGGCAGGAAAGTCTGTGAGACTCTGATCTCCAATAAAAACCACTAGAAAACCGGAAGTGGTGCTTTGGCTTAAGCGGTAAAGCGCTTGCCTTGAGCTGAAGAGCGCAAGGACAGCGCCCAGGCCCAGATTTCAAGCCACATGACTGACAAAAAAAAAAAAAAAAAAAAAAAAGAACACAAAAAACATCCCACAAGATCGGGGAAGGCAACAAGCCACACACACCGAACAGCAACATTCCACGCCGTCCTTACCGGCATCCAGTGGCCTGGGCGCCTCGGGGTGCAGGTCAGACTTTGCAGGACTGGCCCTCTCCTCCTCTTCCCCCTCTTCCGGCGCTGGCTGGGCCTTCCTGAGCCGCAGGGGGCACCCGCTGGCCAGCAGCCAGGCCTTCAAGTGCTCCATGTACTCCCGCCCAAACAGAGTGGAGTCCTCAAAGTTGGGAAAGGAGGCAGGGGAGGGGGCAATGTCTTGGAGGCCCACGGCTTCTAAGATTTTCTCCTGCCGGAAGGAGGAGGCCAGGGAGAAGGTTTGTCCCAGCAGGGCCAGTGACTTCCGGCAGAGGGAGTTGGTGGTCTCTAGGGCCAGCGCCAGGTCCAGGGGGCTGGTAAGGGTCTTCATCTTGACGCTCAGCTCGTAGGCATTGCAGGCCATGAGCAGGGGCGTGGCGCTCTTCAGAAGGCGGTCCTGGAGCCTCATGATGTACTTGTCGAAGGGCTTTATGATCTCAAAAAAGCAATTTTTGGTCTTCACAGCACCTTTGTCTAAAAGCATGTTTAAAAACTCATTATCCACTCGGGGTGTTTTCAAAGCGGAGTGCTTTAAAAATTTGATAGTAAAAAAGCAAAAATCTCTGTGCTCTGGTTTCAAGGAGCACTTGAAGGAGGCGAGGGTCTTCGCACAGGTCTCGGTCTCGAGTTCAAAGAGGGTCTGGAAGAGCTGCGAGAACCTGGCGTCCTCTCTGACTGTATGGAACCCCGCCCACTTGATTATCTCCACACCGAAGCGCGAGAAGACATCGGCCTTATCTATGAGGTCAAAGCTCGTCCTCCTGCGGGGAAAGCGGATGGCCTTCAGGTCCAGCCCCAGAGGGCCCTTGGGAATGGGGAGCTGGATGTCCTCCATCCCCGGGTGTGTCCCCAGGGTCACCTCGGGGCGCAGGGTGGCTTTCTGGCTTTGGCGGGTGCCCTGAGGTTTGGAAGGGATGCGGTTTACAGCAGGTACTTTTTTTGTGGCCACACTCTTCAGCGTGTTGAGTTTCCCAGTACCCCCCTTGGCCGTGAGCAGGCCCTCAGTGTCCCCCTTTCCCAGGAGGGCACCTTCCTGGCCTCTAGCTTGGACTTGCCCGTGGCCCCTGGGCACAGTGTCAGCTTCCCCTGGGAGGTCCGAGTCGTAATCCCGACTCTCCTCCTCCACACACTCTTTCTCCCCACGCCTGGAGGAGGTGGCGTCCCCTGGCACAGCAGGAGGACCCAACCCGCACTCCCGTGCCCACGAGGGCTCTGAAGAGATCTGGGGGCCAAGGCCCTGCTCCCACGAGCCATGCACCGCCAGCTTCCAGTCCGGAGCCTGGAAATGTCCCAATTTCCTGGGGCCAAAGCCAGGGTCCCGAGAGTCAGGGTGGGCAAACTCCAGGCCCCGGCCACATTCTTTTCGAAAGTAGCTGTCATCGCTGACGGCAGGGTTGCTTAACCGGAAGGAAGGTCCTGGAAACACTTCGCCTCTGAGACCTTCTCGCCCAGTGTCTCGAGAGTGAGGCGCAGAGCTGCTGAGAGACCTGCCCTCACTCGGAGCACCCTCATACATGTCCGCTCTGGTTCTTGGGGCTGCCCTTAACAGATCTGAAATGAACGACACAAAAAGACAGAGCTACTTTAGACCACAGGTTGCTAAGGAATGGGCTCTGGCCACGAGCTAGTCCGCTACTTTACTTTTTTGTCGGTAGTGGGGCTTGAACTCTGGGCCTGGGCGCTGTCCCTCAGCTCTTCAGCTCAAGGAGAGCGCTACCGCTTGAGCTACAGCACCACTTGTGGTTTTCTAGTGGTTTATTGGAGATAAGAATCTCATGGACTTTCCTGCCCGGGCTGGCTTTGGACTGCGATCCTCAGATCTCAGCCTCCTGAGTAGCTAGGATGACAGGCGTGAGCCACTGTCGCCCGGCTTCCCCTGATTTATTTATATGCCAGTGTTCTCTGCAATGATTTTTATGTGTATATGTATGCTAGTCCTGGGAACTGAACTCAGGGCTTGGGAACTGTCCCTGAGTTTTGGGTCTTTGTTTTTGTTTTTGCTCAAGGCTAGCACTCTACTATTTGAGCCACAGATCCACTTCTAGTTTAGATGCTTAATTGGAGATAAGAGTCTCACTGAAGCCCGGCCCGGCGGCAGTGGCTCCCGTCTGTCATCCTATCTACTCAGGAGGCTGAGATCTGAGGATCCTGGTTCAAACCCAGCCAAGGCAGGAAACTCCATGACTCTTATCTCCAATAAACCACTCAGAAAACCGGAAGTGATGCTGTGGCTCAAGTGGTAGAACGCTTGCTTTGAGCTGAAGAGCTGAGGGACAGCGCCCAGGCCCAGAGTTCAAGTCCCAGGACTGACCAAAAAAAAAAAAAGTCTTACTGACTTTCCTGCCCTGCGTAGCTTTGAATCCTGATCCTCAGATCTCAGCCTCCTAAGTAGCTAGGATTAGAAGTGTAACCCACAAGCACCTTGCTTATAAGATTAGTTGTTAATGTTTAAAATGTGCAAGGTAGGAATGTTTCCAAAACTCAAATCAAAACAGTAAAACACTGTAAAGTGTCAATAAGAAACCTGGGCTGAGCCAGGCATAGTGATATACACCTATAACCCTAGTTACTAAGGAGTTGGAGATAGGATTGTAGTTCAAGAGGTAATAGGAGGGATGGGAATGTGGCCTATCGGTAGAGTGCTTGCCTAGCATGCATGAAGCCCTGGGTTCGATTCCTCAGTACTACTACACACACAGAAAAAGCTGGAAGTGGTGCTGTGGCTCAAGTGGTAGAATGCTAGCCTTAAGCAAAAGAAGCTCAGGGACAGTGCCCAGGCGCTGAGTTCAAGAGGCAGGTGGACTATAGTTCAAGGCCAGCCTTGCAAAGGTCTAAAGCCCTATCTGAACACATTGAAAGCAAAAGGACTGGGGTATGTTTCAAGAGTAGAGAACCTGCCTAGCAAGCACAAGACCTGAGTTCAGGCAAACAGAAACTCAAACTGACTTCAGTCCGCTCTGCATCCGTACAGAGCTGGAAACAAGACTGGAAGAGACCGGTGAGCGAGCCCAGTCACTGCTATCTATCCTCTGGCTCTGTACTCTGGCTGTTCTTCCTACATGAAGAAGTTCCTGAAGACGCCAAGCAACAAAGGGAACTAAGTACGCAGAGCGACAGTGGCCTAGGTAGAATCTCATGACCACTCCAACATTCCAGGTTTGAATCAGAGGCCATAGCCTAGGGGAAAAAAATGTTAAATGCAAAAGGAAAGACAAAGCACTGGTGGCTCCTGCTTGTAATCCTAGCTACTCAGGAGGCTGAGATCTTAGATGGTGTTTTATGACAGCCCAGGCAGGAAAGTTGATCCCCAATTAACCACCAGAAAACCAGACACGCTAATCTTGAGTGCAAAAGCTCAGGGACAGGGCCCAGGCCCTGGGTTCAAGCCCCACAACTGACAAAACGAAAAAAAGAAAAAAAAAAAAGAAAAAGAAAGAGAAAGACAGATGCCAGGAGGTAGTAATGGCTCAAAAGCCACCAGAAGCCCACGCAAAGCCTGGACGGGCCCTGCTGGGGCTGGCACAGAGGGTGACCCCTGGGTCGGCCAGGGTTCCAGCAAGGCACCTGCTGTGATGGCTCAGGTACAGACTGTGTTGCTCAGGGCAAAAATTAGGGCAGCAGGAGGGATGCTGGTCCTCTAGTCACTAGAACAGGGTTGGGAAACCTTGCTCTGCAAAGGGCCATTGAGATATTTATAACAGCATTAGTAGCCAATACAAAATTATTATCATTTTTTTTTTTGGTCGGTCGTGGGGCTTGAACTCTGGGCCTGGGCGCTGTTCCTCAGCTCTTCAGCTCAAGGTGAGCATTCTACCACTTGAGCCACAGCGCCACTTCCGGTTTTCTAGTAGTTTATTGGAGATAAGAGTCTCAAGGATTTTCCTGCCCGGGCTGGCTTTGAACCATGGTCCTCAGATCTCAGCCTCCTGAGTAGCCAGGATTACAGGTGTGAGCCCCCAGCACCTGGCTACAAAATTATTAATATAGGCAGATGGCCATGGGCGGCTGACCAGACTCATTGTCTGTCCTACGTTTTCCTTTTTTTTTTTTTTGCCAGCCCTGGGGCTTTAACTCGGGGCCTGGGAGCTGTCCCTGAGATTCTTTTGCTCAAGGCTAGCACTCTACCACTTGAGCCACAGTGCCACTTCTGACTCTTTCTATGTGGTACTGCAGAATTGAACCTAGGTCTTCATGCATGCTAGGCAGGCAGTCTACCACTAAGCCACATTCCCAGCCTTGTACCAAATAATTCTGAGTGCCTTATACAGCTGGTAAGCCGGATATTCTCTACCCCTTCTCTGAATGAGGAGCGAGAGGCAGCACAGATGGAGGAAACACAGTGCTGTGATCACAGCACTGGGAAGGTGAAGGCTGGAGGATCAAGACCTACATGGTGACTCTCTCAGAACAGCAGGCAGGGTGGCTGAAGCCTGCAGCCCTGGCTACTCGGAGGCCGCAAACAGGGGATTACTGTTCAAGGCAAACCCATGCAAAAAGAACCTCACACACAAAAAATTGTTTTTGTTTTGGTTGGTTGTAGGGGTTGAACTCAGAGCCTGGGTGTTGTGCATGAGCTTTTTCACTCAAGGCTAGAACTGTACCACTTGGGCCACAGTTCCACTTCCAGTTCCTGCTAGTTAAATGGAAATGAGTCTCACAGACTTTTCTGCTCAGGCTGGCTTTGAACTGTGATCCTCAGATCTCACTTTCTGTGTAGATAGGATGACAGGTGTGAGCCAACAAAATTTTATCTCCACCAAATTTTATCTCCACTGTGCAGCAGTACATACCTGTCATCCCTGGCAATGCTGGGGAAGTACAAGTAAAAGGTTGGAGATGTGGCTCAAGTGGTAGAGCTCTTGCTCTGCAAGTGGGAGGCCTGAAATTCAATCCCTAGAACCATCACCAACAAAACTGAACAAACAACAAAACACCTTGTTTAGGGGTCCAGCTCAGCTGCAGAGCATATGCTCAGCTAAAAAAGACCTGGCATTCCATCCTTAGAACCAAAAACCAAAAAGGGGAAGGCGCCTAGAGAGAAGCTGCAGTCGATGACTTTAATCACTCTTGGTCAAATTTAAATGTTTACCTCCTCTTCATAAAAAGACAATGAGAGCAGTCCCATCGTCAGGGAAAAAGGAAGAGGGAAGGAAAAAGGGGGAAGGAAAAAAAAAAGACAGAGGGTGAATAACTTTGAAATGCATTGCCAATATATACAACCACAATGTAACCTCACGAACAGCTTTTGGTCAGTAGGGAGAGGCAAGGGAGAGAAAGAGGCTCTGGGGAGACTATAAGAGAGGGCTGGGCTAATAAGAAGGATAGACGAGGAGGAATATCGGCTAAGTGGGTTATTTCCAACTAGGAAAACAGAACAATGAAGCTGCGCACTGGGGGCTCATGCCTCTAATCCTAGCTACTCAGGAGCCTGAGATCTTGGTTTTTTTGTTTGTTTGTTTGTTGGCCATGGGGCTTGAACTCTGGGCCTGGGCACTGACCCTGAGCGCTTCAGCTCAAGGTGAGCGCTGTACCATTTGAACCACAGTGCCACTTCCATGGAGCCTGAGATCTGAGAACCAAACCAGCCTAGGCAGGAAAGTCTTCAAAACTTATATCTAATTAACCATTCAAAAGCTGGAAGTGGAGGTGTGGCTCAAGTGGTAGACTGCTAGCCTTCAGTGGAACAGCACTCAGGCCCTGAGTTCAAACCCCAGTTCTGGCTCGAATTAAAAAAAAAAAAGAGCCAGGCACTGGTGGCTCACGCCTATCATCCTACCTACTCAGGAGGCTGAAATCTGAGGATAGCAATTCAAAGCCAGCCTGAGCAGGAAAGTCTGTGAGGCTTTTTAATCTCCAATTAACCACCAGAAAACCATAAGTGGTGCTGTGGCTCAAGGTGAAAAGCTCAGGGACAGACCCCAGGCCCAGAGTTCAAGCCCCACAACTGACAAAAAAGAAAGAAAACAGAACAATGAAACCTGCTGAAATTGGGAAGAGCGGAAGGGACAGTAATAGAGGAGTGTCATTGATTGTAATATACTGTACACAAGTGTGGAAATGTAACATTAAAATATTTTCCCCATAGGGGGCTAGGAAGTTGGCTCAGTGGTAGAGCGCTTGCCTTGCTTGCCTGAGGCCCTGGGTTCAATTCCTCAGCACCACATAAGCAAAAAGAAAAAAGCCGGAAGTGGCGCTGTGGCTCAAGTGGTAGAGCGCTAGCCTTGAGCTGAAGAGCTGAGGGACAGCGCCCAGGCCCAGAGTTCAGGCCCCACGACCTGAAACCCAGACCCAGAAAAATATATATATATATTTCCCCCCATAACTAATGTAAATTTTAAAAAGAATGAAAAAATAATGCAAGGACCAGAGCACTTGCCCAAGACACTGAAATCCTACCCTGCCCTTAAGATACTCATCCACGCCCCCCCCCCCCCCCCAGCCCCTTCCATTGACCTGGGGCTTCCAACTGAAGCGTTTTGCTGACAGCCTCAGCACTGGGGTCCACGTGGTATCGTTTCACTTTTTCCTGTAGCACAGCGTCAAGAGTCTCCTGGGCAATCCGCCGTGCTGCCATCTTTCCTTGCCCTGTGCAGAGAGGAAAAGAATTACATTCCCTGCTCGGAGGCCCAGCTCTTCTTCATCTAATCTTCCAGGTAAGGAGTCACCTAGTCTTGGACTGGCAAAGCCCAACTGGCCTCGGGGGGCTGGGGAGGGTGTCTGTGCCCAGCTGATGCTCACTCATTGCATGTGTTGGAGAGAGAGGGGCAAGCTTCCCCGGACCTTTCTCCCGGGGGTCTCTAATTGGCTTTTGTTCAGCCTGGTACCAGTGGCTTACACCTGTAATCATCTTTGTAATCCCAGCTCCTCAGGAAGCTGAGATACCAGGATGGTGGTTTGAAGCCAGTCCAGGCAGGAAAGTCCTGTGCGTTTTTTTTTTTTTTTTTTTTTGCCAGTCCTGGGGCTTGAACTCAGGGCCTGGGCACTGTCCCTAAGCTTCTTTTGCTCAAGGCGAGCCCTCTACCACTTGAGCCACAGCACCACTTCTGGCTTTTTCTGTGTATGTGGTGCTGAGGAACGGAACCCAGGGCTTCACGTGTGCTACACCAGCACCCTACCACTGAGCCACCTTCCCAGGTTCCCCTCTGGTGGGATTCTTATCTCCAATTAACCAGCAAAAAAAAAAAAAAGCCAGGTGGTAGAGCGACCACCCAGAGTTCTGAGTTCAAACCCCAGGACTGGAGCACACACCAAAAAGAACCATGGTGGGTCTGCAGGAGGGCCTTCTCACACACCCCTCACCGAGGTTAGGTGCGAGGGTGGAAGGGCAGGAGGCAGCCCCGGCTGAGGGTGGCCAGGGCGGGCAGACCCCCCCCTCCCCACTCTGGAATGGGGTGGTGGCAGGCCTGGCGGCGGCCGGCTCAGGGCTCACTGTGCTGGGCCGCGGGCCCCGGGGGCGGCGGGCCCCGCGCTGGGCCGGGGGGCGCAGGGCCGGGCCCGGGCCCGAGGCCCACCGCTTGACAGCCCTGGGTGACCCGCACCCCCCTCCCCTCCCCCGCTCGCTGGCCCGGGCGCCCCTCGCGCACGCGTGACCTAGCCCTTCCCTGCCTCAGTTTCCCCGTCTATGGCCGCTACGGGTCCCCGGCCAGTCCAAAAGCGAACGGAAGGAAGGAAGGAATGAACGAACGAACGAACGAGCCGGCGTCCCGGGCCGCTCTGCCCCGCCCGCCCCGCCGGAGCCACGGGCCCGGGGAAGCCGCGGCCCTCACAGCACCGGCCGCCGGGCCGCGGCGCCATTGGAGAACGCGGGGTCCCCCGGGTGGGGCCGGAACCCTCCGGCCCGGAGCCCACCCGCCGCCGCCGCCCAGGCCCAGGCCTCACCCCGAGCCCACCGCGCGCGGAGCCGCCCGCGCCGCCCGCGCCGCCGCCGCCCGAGGCTCCTCACCCGCCGCCGCGCGAGGCGGGGACACGCAAATGAGCTAACGGTCTCCGCAGAGCCGCGCAGGCGCAGTCTGCTGCCTACGCCCGGAGCGCGCAGGCGCACCCTGACGCCTTTCTTCGTGCGCAAGCGCACACAGCCCTCCCCCCCCCCCACGCCCTGACGCGCCGCGCCGGCAGCTGTGGGCTCTCCTTGCGCAGGCGCGTTGTCCGCTTCTCCTAGACGATCGCACCCTAAGCGAAAATTTTCTCTGCCCGGGCGGCGACACCAGGGGGTCACCGGGGAGAGGCGCTAGAGACGCCTGGGGCGCTCACGCTGGGACGAGGCGGCTTTACCTGCGCTCGCTCTCGACCTCCGTTATCCCTGGAGCCACCTGCCCGGCTCCAGGCGGCGGCCAGGCGACGCCACTGCGCCTGCGCCCCGACGGCGGCCGGCAGGGCCCGCCCCTCCCGCGCGCGGAGCGGCCCGCGGAGACGGCCGCCGGCCCCACCCTTCCCCACGTGGCGGCGGCGGGACCGGTGAGGAGCGGGGCGCGCCGCGGGGCGGGCTGGAGGGAGGCGGGAGGACGGAATGCGGGACCGGCTCCCCGGCGCGCGCACCGTCCCTCCCACCCCGGGCCCCGAGCGCCGGCCGCGCCAGCCCCGGGAGCGGGAGGCTGGGCCCAGGCCGACCCGGGGCGCGTCGCCGTGCCGGGCGGGATGCTGAGCCCCGCGCTCCCAGCGATCGGGGGTGAAAGGTCAGGGGACCGGTGGAGCCCGAGCCACCCAGCAGCCTGGTCAGACGTCACCCCGGGACCCCCCCCACCTTCCTTCACCTGAGTGGCGAAGGCCATAAGGAAGCTGGTCAGGGAGGAAATACACTTTCCATTTTCACTGTTGTTATTATTGTTGTTGTTATTGTGTGTGCGTGTGTGCACGCCAATATTAAGATTTAAATTCAGGGCCGGGGTACTGTCCCTTCGCTTTTTTTGCTCAAGGCTGGCATTCTACCACTTGAACCACAGCTTACTTCCAGCTTTTTGCGGGTTAACTGGAGGTAAGAGTCTTGCTGCCGGGCACCGGTGGCTCACACCTGGCATCCTAGCTACTCAGGAGGCTGAGATCAGAGGATCGCAGTTCAAGGCCAGCCCGGGGCAGGAAAGTCAGCGCGACTCCTGTCTCCAGTAAACCACCAGAAAACCAGAAGTGGCGCTGCGGCTCAGAGCAGAGCCCTTGCGTTGAGCAAAATTGCTCAGGGACAGCACCCAGGTCCAGAGTTCAAGCCCCACAACGGACAAAAAAAAAATTAAATCTTTCACACTTTTCTGCCTTAATCTTCAGCTCTCAGCCTCCGGAGTAGCAAGGATTATAGGTATGAGCCACTGGTGCCCTGCCAGAGGTGGATTCTCAATGCAGTGCTTGCATTCCTGTGGTAAGCAGATCTCAAAGTGTTAAAAGCCACTGAGGTGATGAGGGCTGCCCCGCTGTTGGGCTTTTCACCTGAACTAGTGCTGAGGACCAATTTGTACCTGCACACGCCGTGGATGCAACCAAAGACATTTGCATCCCCCCAAAAGAGACGCCGTCAGCGGTCCCTGTCCCTCCTCCCTGCGCACCGTGAAGCCACTGGGGATTTCCCAACAACTGTTGACAGGCTGTGCAGCCTCTGTGCCTGTCCGGTGTCACTCAGCACATCTCACCCGTGTTCCATTCTTCTCACCGTGGAGGAATAGTCCAGTGTGCACTCACCACCAGGCTACATCCCTAGCTTTACCTCCACCCATAGGGGATTTGACATGCATGTTGCTTGCTTACTTATTTATTTATTTTGCTGGTTCTTGGGCTTGAACTCAGAGCCCAGGTACTGTCCCTGCTTTCTTTTCTTTTTTCTTTTGGTCGGTCCTGGGGCTTGAACTCTGGGCCTGAGTACTGTCCCTCAGCTCTTCAGCTCAAGGTGAGCAATCTACCACTTGAGCCACAGAGCCACTTCCGATTTTCTAGTGGTTTATTGGAGATAAGAGTTTCATGGACTTTCCTACCCAGGCTGGCTTTGAACCATGATCCTCAGATCTCAGCCTCCTGAGTAGCTAGGATTACAGGTGTGAGCCACCGGCGCCCAGCTCTGTCCCTGATTTATGTGCTCAAGGCTGGCACTCTACCACTTTGAGAACAACTTTACTCCCCGTTTTCTGGTGGTTATTCAAGATAGGAGTCTCAGACCTTCCTGCCTGGGCTGGCTTTGAACCGGCATCCTCAGAGCTCATCCTCCTGGGGAGCTAGGATGACAGGTGTGAGCCATCGGAAAGTGCCCAGGCTACCTGTTTTTACTGAGATAAGGTTTCCCTGTGGCCCGGGCTGGCCTGTCCCTAGCCACACTCCTGCCTCCACCTGCCCAGTGTATCTCACTGCCCATGAGTCCTTCATCTTGGAGGCCTGAGTGATGTTGGGATCTAAACAGTCATCGAGTCGGCCCCTGGCAGGGGCTCCCAGGCTGGTGACTGGAGCCTGGGCATGGCTGCCCCCCCCATGACAGAGCTCTCCCCCCTCCCAGCTTCGCACACAGGGGCAGGATGGCCTGTAAACGCATCACGCAGGACACTTTCGATGCGGCGGTGCGGGAGAACGTGGAGGAGTTCAGCATGGACCCTGAGGAGGCCGTGAAAGAGGCTGTGGAGCAATTTGAGTCCCAGGGTGGGTGGGGTGACACCCCCTATGCTGTGAGCAGCCCTGTGGGCCCTGAGCCCCCCCCCCGTGGGCCCCACGCACCTCGCACCCTCACCCCACCCATGCCACTCTCTGGCCCCTCGTTGGGACGTTGGCAGAGCTGGCCCTGCTCATGTGTGCAGTCACATCCCCAAAGGGACCTTTGCTGGGCCTGGCACTCAGCACCCAGCACCGCCTGCCTCCCTGCCACCTGCACCCAGCTGCAGCTCGGATTAGCAAGGAGGGCGTGCCACTGTGCAGACGGACAGACAGACAGACAGCAGCTCACACCAGGCCCAGCAGGAGAGACTGAGGTTGCCATGGCCTAGGCAGGGAGTGCAACTCACCTGGCACTGCTGGCAGGGGGGATGGGCTTCCAGGAACCTGTTCCGCCCCCCCCCGCCCCCGGCAGTGGGCTGGCCCTGCCCCCCCCCGCCCCCGGCAGTGGGCTGGCCCTAGACACAGAGGGCAGTTTACCCTGGACAGGGCTGGTGCGGCAGTCCGGGGGGTCCACTGCCGGGGGCTGGGCCACATAGGGCGAGAGCTCTGAGGTCAAGGCTGGGTGTCACCCCCCACCCCTGCTCTCAGCCCCCAGGCAGGGACTGCCCCCACCCTGCCTGCTGTCTGCCGAGGGCCGCTTTGCACCCGTTGTGCTCCAGCCCATGGGGGATGAGAGTGGGAGCCCCTAGAAGGAAGGTTCCAGTGGAAGCGACCTGCACAGACTGGTGTCTGGTGTCCTCGTTTCCTGCAGGGGTGGACCTGAGCACCATCATCAAGACTGCGCTGAAAACCCCGGCAGACGGAGCCACGGAGCCCACGCACGGCGTCCTGCAGGTCTCCCTGGCCCCTGGGCCCGGCCCCGCCTCTCACTCGGAGCTCAGCCTGCCCAGCAGCGTCTCCACATCCACACTGGAGAGCAGCCGGCCTAGGCGTGGGGCTCCGCGATCAAAGCTTGCGGCCCGTTCTGCGGGGAGTGGGGGTGGGCATGCCTGGGGGGATGGGCCACACCTGAGCTGTCACTTGTTCCCGAACTTGGCCCCTTAGTGTGGAAATATCTGTGAGTGGGCTTTCATCCAGAGATGGGACCCCAGATGAGCAAGGCAGGGCCCCCCGGAGGCCAGTGGCCTTGCTGAGGGTCACTGTGTGGGGCAGTGCAGGAAGGCACCAGGATGGCTGAGCCCCAGGTCGCCTGGCCGGAGTCCCCGGGTCCCCCCCCCCCCCCCATGTCATACGACAAAACCTGGCTTTACCCATATCAGTGTGTGTGCGTGTGCTCACGTGCACGCATGCACTCGGTCAATCCTGAGGCTTGAGCTCAGGGCCTGGGCACTTTACCACTTGAGCCACAGTTCCACTTCTAGATTTTTGCTGGTTAACAGGAGATAAGGGTCTTGTGGACTTTCTTCTTTCTTGCTTGAGCGGGTTTCGAGCCTCCATCCCCAGATCTCAGCTTCCTGCGTAGCTAGGATGACAGGCGTGATACACCAGTGCCCAGCCCTCTCTCCTCCCTATCTCTCTGTTTCATTGTTTGACACAAGGCCTCACACTGCCCACTGGGCCAGCCCTGAGCCCCAGGGTGCCCCCCCAGCCCCCTGCTCATTGTTACTGCCGTATCTTGAGTTGTGTAGTTACCTTGGCGTTGGGGGGCAGTTCACCTGCTGGTCTCGGGGAAGCCGGGACCACAGTGTCCAGTGGCCCTGGGTTCCCAGAGTCTCAGCGGGCACTGAGACACCAGGCCCTTCTTGCCCTGTGTGTAGCCTCTGCTGCTACAGACTCTCCAAACAGAAGAGAGGGCTGGGCTGGAGCTTGGCAGTGCCCCTGGGCCCTGTGCGGCCTCCCAGCAACACAAAAGAGAAAGGAGGGAAGAACGGGAATCGGGAGGGGCCTCTACCCCTCTGGGTTCAGTGGTTGCTCCTGTGACCCCAGCACTGGGGAGACAAGGCGGGAGGTCACGTGTGCCCGCCAGCCTGCGCCACACAGAACCTGTCTCAGAAAAGAGCGCCGCCTTCTGGCTCACATCGCTAGTCATTCCGGAGGCTGAGATCCGAGGATTGCGGTTCAAAGCCAACCCAAGCAGGAAAAGTCTTATCTCCATTTAACCACCAAAAAGCCAGAAGTAGCTGGGCACCAGTGGCTCACGCCTATCACCCTAGCTACTCAGGAGGCTGAGATCAGAGAATCGCAGAGAAAAACCGAAGTGGCGCTGTGGCTCAAGTGGTAGAGCGCTCGCCTTGAGCTGAAGAGCTGAGGGACAGCGCCCAGGCCCAGAGATCAAGACCCATGACCAGCCAAAA